CATCTCATCCTCTGTCGTCCCCTTCTCCTCCTGCCCCCAATCTTTCCCAGCATCAGGGTCTTTTCCAATGAGTCAGCTCTTCGCATCAGGTGGCCAAAGTATTGGAGTTTCAGCTTCAACATCAGTCCTTCCAGTGAACACCCAGAACTGATCTCCTTTAGGATGGACTGGTTGGATCTCCTTGCAGTCCAAGGGACTCTCAAGAGTTCTCCAACACCACAGTTGAAGAGCATCAATTCTTTGGCACTCAGCTTTCTTCATAGTCCAACTCTCACATCCATACATGACTACTGGAAAAAACCATAGCCTTGAGGTACATAGGTAACATTTAAGTTAAATCCTAAAGAATATGTTGCCACTGCAATTGACAAGTCACCATATATATTAAATCAGTGTCCCCTTTCCTGGCTAGGGACTGCTTAGATAACACTTTAGTTATTGTCTTTGGATTTCTTAAACCAAATAATTCCTATACGGTTTTTAGGTCTCTTCTAAACTTCAGAGTCTTCTGTATACAAGGTAAATTTGATCACCTTTCTATAGAACTTAGCCTTGACCCTTCACCCCATGCCATTGCAGTGGTTCCACTCATCTTGCTGCCTTCATGTTTTTTACCCTGAAATCTGGATGGCTCAGTGGATAAAGAATCTGCTCATAATGCAGAAGACACAGGAGATGTGGATTCCACTCCTGGGTCGGAAAGATCCCTTGGAGGAGGGTATGGCCACCCACTCCAGTATTCTTGCCTGGGAAATCCCATGCACAGAGGAGCCTGGCAGACTATAGTCCATGGGGTTGCAAAAAGCTGGACATGACTGAGCGAAAGTCTAGTTAATCTACCCCGTCTGCCATAAGTTCCCTAGTGGCCCTTAGGAGCATTATGTCTTTCTCTACATGAAAACTCCAGTAACTGCCCATTCCCTGCAGGGTGAATTCTAAACTTCTTTAAAAAGTTCACAAGCTTCTTACCTGCTTTTTCATCACTTACCATACCCTATCCTAAATGTCCTCTGCTCAGAATCAACTTTTTGAGCTTTATCCACAAAAGCTATGGAAATATCTAGAAGGTCCCTGTTAATACGTTCTTTGTCTGGTAAGCTCCTCACAGTCTTCTTGCTTAGTCCTTTGCCTCCAAAGTGCAAAACAGGCAGCACCAATTCCTTCTCACTCATCCTCAGAGTGAGACCCCTATTGCCTTCACACAGCAAGTGTATGAATGAATGATCGTTAGGACAGGTCTTCTCTTAGAGGACAAAATTTGAACCATTCATCAGATAAAAAAATGATTAATTTGACAATAATTTCTTCAGTTCCTTGTGGCCTGGTTGCCCAAAAAAGTTGAATTAGAATGTTGTAGGGTATTGTAATAGAAAAAAAAAAAAAAATAGAATGTTGTAGGGTATATTGTGTTCCCAGTATTGTATTAGGTTCATTGTTTCATCAGATGCATAAGCTAATCACCTTTAAAAGTTCCTTGGGTAAGGTCCACACAATAAAAACATGATGAGGTTTTAATATTTGGAATGCATTCACTGTTATTATAGCTGTTCACCTAACTTCTGAATTTTCTATTTCCTCACTTTATTGCACCATTAACTTACCCAATTTTATCCCAACACTATTCTACCAAACTCTTCCCTTCTTCTGCATGCCAAAATCCTTCAAAGTGCCATTGTGGTGTCAGAAAGATCCTGCCTGTGGTGAGGAAAATATGTAATATATCTGTGGTCTTCAGTTACCTTGTGTTACACACAGTTTATAGATTGACCAAATACCTCAGTAAAGGGTCAGATAATATGTACTTTAGGCTTTGTGGACCATATGGTTTGTGTCACAATCACTCAGCTCTGCAATTATAGAAGGAGAGCAGCTACAGACAATAAGCAAACAAATTAGTGTGGCTAAATGCCAATAAAATTTAATTATAAAAACTGGTGTCCTGGGAACCAGTTTGCTGACTCCTTGGGTCATATGGAGACTTATTTCTGTGGAGAAAGATTTAGTCTGGTTCTTTTCAGATATAGAAACATTTTCCAAAGAGCTTGCTCCCAGAGAATAATCTTTCTAATTAAACATGGTCCTGAGGTAAATGCTTTGAAGGATACGTGTACTATTCCTTATCATGCAGTTTTTATCAGAAACAGAAGCTGAGGGAATAAGATTATGTAAAAATTCATTTGCTTGTATTACAATTCTCACAGCTTAGCATATCAGGATTTGCATCCCAAGTGAGCTGGAAATTTCCATATGTCACCCTGGCACCATAATGGAAGCTATAAAAGTGTTCATGCTCTTTACCAGTATGTTAGTTTTTAGGAACTATCCCACAGCAGTGACTTCAATGAAATAAAATCTCTTGTGTGTTCAGTGATATTTAAAACAGAAATATTCATCAACACTAGAATTCTAAGGTAAGCCAGTTGGGAAATGGTACAGTAGCATAAAATAATTCTGCAGAAAAAATTTTGTGGTGTTTGTGTGGAGTATATTGATCCTTGAAAATAGGTATATTAAAAATTACAAGTGAGAGAAGTCAAGTGGAAAGTATGTTTACATGATCTCAAACATAAAAATCAATATACATTAATTCTGTCAGTCAGTATTCAGAAGAGCCTACCATTAGCAAGGATATGCTCAAATCACTGGGAAGACAGCAATGAATAAAACAGACCAAAATCCCTGCCCTCACAGAGCCAGGATTCTTATGGGAGGGAGACAGATGTTAAAGATCAAAGGGATTTTAGCAATTACTATACCTGAAAATTTAATATCATGAGCTGTCTCTCCCCTAAAACTGATGTTATAAAAGAACTTTTCACCCTTTGATATGTTTAGTTTTATTTTCTGAATAATATTTTTTTCTGATCATTTCATTCAACCATTGTTTGTTGAGTTCTTACTATTTGCCACACTCTCTTCCAGGCACATGAAATATAGCATGAACAAAATATAAAAACATGCTTATTCTCTTGGAGCTACAGTCTAGTGGAGGAGATAGAATGTTAGATAAATATGTAGAATGTATACAAGGTTAGATGGTGAGCAAGGGGCAGAAGTATGGAGGAAAGCAAATATGAATGTTGGGAGAAGGCAAATTTTCAGATTTGGTTATAAAGAAGGACTCTTTGAGAAGGTGACTTTGGAGGAAATAGTTGAAGAAAATGAATGAAGGAGAGTGTGAGAGCAGACTGGAGGTCATTCTGGATAAAGTTTCAGCAGGTACAAAGGCCCTGGGGTGAGAATGTGCCTGGTGTACTCAAGGAATATCAAGGAGGCCAGCAGCTAGAGCGCAATAAGTGAAGGAGAGAGAAGAAGAAAGGAGGTGGAAAGTGTAACATGAACCAGATCAAAGCTGGCCTTTGAAGTTGTTGGAAGGATATTGACTTTTATTGTAATCATGAGAAATATTGAAAAGTTCTGAGCAAAGGAGAGAGGTTTTGGGGTTTGCATTGAAATTACTCCTGCTGTTGAGAATAGACACAAATATAGGGAGGCTTTTAAGAGCTTGCTGCCATAATCCAGGTGAGAGAAGGTAGCTTAAACCAATGGGGGTACAGAGGCCAGAGGGGGAGGTGGATAAGACAAGCATCTTGAGCCATGGTGGCCCAAAGGAAAGGATGGAGGTGTGGCAGGAGCCAATGTTCCCACTGCCAGAGCTCACCTGCCACAAAGGTGAGATCCCTGGGAGCAACAACGGCTCCTGAAACAGGGCTGTGCCCACCCCACCCCACCCCAATGGGTAGCACAAGGTCAGGCACATACTAGTTGATGAACTGAAATTGATGAAATTTTTGTAAAACAAAAAAGGAAACGTGAAACAAAATCTACTTTATGGCTGCCTCCTGCTACAGAATACTCTCCTCACTGCTTTGTCTGGAGTTATTTTCCATCCTTTGGTTATGTATTTATTTTTCTCTTATGAAAATATTTTTATTTTAGTTGCTAGCTGTCAAAATAAAACTAACTCGAAACTTAAAAAAAAAAAAAAGAAACTGGAAGACCTTGACAACAGAGATGACAGTAGAAAAAAATAATAAAGTCATCTCAAATCCTACCTACTATACTATCCTACCTACCTACTATAAATATATTGGTGTAGAAATGGCAACCCGCTCCAGTACTCTTGCCTAGAAAATCCCATGGACAGAGGAGCCTGGTGCATGTTACTGCCCATGGGTCGCAAAGAGTCAGACACGACTGAGCGACTTCACTTTCATTTTCATATACTCCAAAATTGTTTTTTTCTTTGGCTGAGTCGCATGGCTTGTGGCATCTTAGTTCCCCAACCAGGTATCGAACCTGAGCCCTCAGCAGTGAAAGCCTGGAGTCGTAACCACTGAACTGCCAGAGAATTCTCTTTTACTCTAGAATTTTAGACAAAGAATATTTTTAAATATCAGTTTATTACTGTCAGATAAAGAGAATCTATGCTTAAACCATGTGGAGAATGACTCCTTCCTTGTTTATCAAGAAAATCTTTCAAAACAGCACATAAATTAGCACACATTGTACATGCAAAACTATGTGTCTATATATAGGTTTTTTTTTCTCCACATAGGGAAGCCAAAGCTTTCATCAGGGTTTCAAAGGATATTGTGACTTAAATAGGTTGAGAACCACTGCTTTAGATTTTATTTTCAATTCAAACTTTTGCAGCCAGTCATTTCTTCATTACAGAAAATTTTGAAGAACTTCTAAAAAATCAAATTCAACTTGGAAATTATTAATACATATCTTCACCAAGGGAAAATAACCATCTAAAGGTCAGATTTTGTTTGTTTTACTTTGGTTATTCGTTTATGAATTAATGCCTTCAACATTTGGTGATGTCCTAAGAAGGTTTCAGCTTTCAATGACTTTCATTAAAATGACAGAATAGTAAAGATTCCATTGAGCCATTACATTCTATTTCATACCTTTATGAATTGAAAGCATCATTATTGCCTTTTACCATTAAAGAGTCTAAGATTGATTGTAAGTGAATGTAATTTATTTTTCAGGGAACAACTTAATTCTTTACTGAAGACCTATAACATCTTTTATAGGAACCAGAAAAATCTGCATATTTTATATGGCCAGGTAAGCTCATCAAAGAAATGCAATACAGTTTGAAAGTGAAAGTCGCTCAGTCCAACTCTTTGTGACTATAATCCATGGAATTCTCCAGGCCAGAATACTGGAGTGGGTAACCTATCCTTCTCAAGGGGATCTTCCTGACCCAGGAATCGAACTGGGGTCTCCTGCATTGCAGGCAGATTCTTTACCAGCTGAGCTACCAGGGAAACCCCAAAACTACAAGTTTTCTGAGGGTGGGCTGCATCTGCTATATTGCCAGCCAGCACCCAGGGAGGTTTCTGGCATATGCATGTGTGTGTTAGTCATTCAATCATGCTGTTTTGTGACCCCAATGGACTGTAGCCCGTCAGGCTCCCCTGTCCATGGAATTCTCCAGGCAGGAATATTGGAGTGGGTAAAACATTTTTTTCTCCAGAGGATATTCCTGACCCAAGGATCGAACCTGGGTCTCATGCATTGCAGGCAGATTCTTTACCAGCTGAGCCATCAAAGAAGATTGATTCACAGGAAAAAAAAAAAAAATACGTAAAAGTACAGAGAAGTCAGGATAAGTTGGAGTCCATAATACAAATGGTCTGGGAGAAACGGGTGAATAATTTTAGTTATAGACTATACTGAAAATCCTAGTCCTGAAACATCTGTAAATTTCTAAGTATTTTTTGGAATGGGCAAACATTTAAAGTAACTTTAATGACATATTTGCTTTCTACTTTAAAAACAGAGTATGAATATCTTTTGAACAGCAATTCCACTAGAACTCTATCTTACAAATAATTCAGCAAAGTCCTGAATCTAGCAAGCATTTTTAAGGGTGCAACTGTTAGACTACTGTACCTAGTGACCTTAGATTTTCTTTAATACGTGGTTCTCTACAGGTCTCCCCACTCAGTCTTGTATCCTAATGGAACTCACTTCACATCTTTACAATATCTTCCTGGTCCTAGGGTACATTAGAACTGTCTACCTATGTTTAGATCTTCAGATGTGATGGTATAGCATTGATTTTATGCCACCCTTGGCATTTGGGACAGAAGGAAATTTATAAGCCTCTTTGTCATTTACTAGTGAGCCTAAATGATTTAGTTTGATCAGACATTTCAATTCCCCTCCCAAATGTAATTTTCTACAGAAGCAGGAAGTAGCTAATCCTTTTATAAAGAAATGGGCCTAAGTTTTCGAAATGGCCTAATTTAAAATTATTTCAATATTGTCCTATATCTTAGATCAGTAAAATGCATAACTGTAAAAATATAAACTTTAGGAAAAGATCAAAACTTTAAGGAAATTATTTTAGATTGTAATTCAATAGTTTCCATGCTTCCTTTAGCAAAATTTTGAATTTTGATGTGACAAGCATATGAATTGAGGCATGTCCTTTCTACTCTGTGAATTGGTGCTCAACTTACAAAAGTCATTTGTTTTTTTAAAATAAAGTCTTGGGTCTTACATAATTTTTTAAACTGCATGAATTAAAGTATATACTGAGAATATCAGACTGCTTAATCTTTTCATCTTTACTTGCTGATAATAAAATTAGAATCCAGAAATTTCCAAGTCTCTGATTTAGTTGTAGTGATGGACATGGTTCAGAGGGGCAGTGCATGGAATAATATTAGCTTTCTTAATCTCTGATTAATTAATGCAATGACTATTTATTGTTTACAACACAACAGACACTGTTCTAAAAACTAGACAACAGTGGATAAATGAGAGAATGTCCTGCATTCATTCTCCTTACATTTTAGTAGATAGAAAAGAAACAAAAAAGTAAATTGTGCATTAGAAGGTGAACAGTCTGTGGAGGATAGCAAATCAGGGAAGAGGGCTCCGGAATCTAAGTGGATGGATAAAGAAGAACATTTGACCAAAGACTGAAAGATGTCAGGGTGCTAACGTTCCAGAAGTCTGTGGGACATGCATTCTGGGTACAGACAGCAGTCTGAATCAAAGTCCTAAGCCTGGCTGGTATAACTGAGGAACAGCAGGGAAGCCAATGCTCCAAGGGAGCTCGTGAGAATGGACTGGTAGAGAATAAGGAAGCTAGAGAAAGAACTGAGAAGGAGAGGGTGCTAGAGCATGTGGGGTCTTGTAGATCACTGTGAAGACTTCAGCTTGTGCTTGAAGTGAGGTGAGAAGTCCCTGAGGTGTTGAGATGTGATCTAAAGATTCATTTTGAAAGGGTCTCTCTAGCTAGTAGGAATACACAGAGGGACAAGAGAAGAATGAGGTAGACCACAGAGACACTATTGCAATAATCTGGCAAACAATGACAACGGCATAGACCAGAATTGTGGTAGCGCACATGGTGAGCATAGCCTTGTCGGGGATATATTTTTAAGGTCAAGCTAATCAGACTGGCTAATGTATTGGATTTGGAGATGTTCAGAATGAAAGATTAATGGTGACTGTAACAATGTTGACCTGAGCAAGTGGAAGAATGGGAGTGGTATTTAACAAGATGGGGAAGGCTGGGAAAGGAAAATGTTTAAGAGAGAAATTTCAAGAGTTAACTAGGATCATATTAAATTTGACGTCAAGTTTGAAAGCTGAAGTTTAGGGGAGAGGTTAAGGTTTGGGTTGGAGATCTAAAATTGGGAGCTACCAGTTTAGAGATGGCATATAAAGATCATTGAGGTCACCGAGGATATTGGTGTAGATCTACATGAGAAAAGGCCTAACGATTGAGGCAATGAGACTACAGAAGTGTAACCAAACCTTCAGGGATAATTTATGTAGTTAATTTCAAAAGAGATGTTTTCTGAAATTAAAAAATATTCTCATATTCCTCATATGAGAAAACCTCATTGTCTGATTATAGTTGGAGTATTTCTTCCTGAAAGCAAAAATGAGATAACCTCAGAAGATCAGTTATTCTATGAGTTTTTGATATAAGGGATTCATGGAAGTATAATTAGGCCAAGGAAAGATGTCATACATCAATAACTAACGTGTAGGCCCTGCATCATGTACTGTCATTTCAGAGAGCAAATTGTGTTTGGTTATTAGGAACTGGAGCTTCCTTGTTGGCTCAGAGGTAAAGAATCTGCCTGCAATGCGGGAAGACCTGAGTTTGATCCCTGGTTCATTCCCTTGGAGGAGGACATAGCAACTCACTCCAGTTTTCCTGCCTGGAGAATCCCCATGGACAGAGGAGCCTGGTGGGCTGCAATGAGGTCGCAAGGAGTTGGACAGAACTGAGCGACTAAGCATAGCACATAGCACATTAAGAACTGATAAGTACCTGACCTCACAATAATCTGAAATGTGGACTCAAAAGTGGGAAAAAGAGCAAAACTTTGTTTCAGGAGTGACTCCAAAGTAGGTTGATCAGCCAAAGAAATAATAAGCAACAGCATTTACTAAGCACTTTAAATATCAGCCCCTATGATTCAGGGACTGTTATGATTTAATTCTTCAGAAGAAGCAGCCCAGGTTTAAAGGTGTTTAACTTTTTGTCCAAAATCATACGGCTAGGAAGTAGCAGAGCTGCAGTTTAAACACAGGGCTATGTGATTCTACAGTCTGGAGGCTTCACTACACATTCAAATAGGAATTGAGTCATTTATGTTTTTTAATAATTGATTTTTCATAATAACAAGTAAGCTATTGGATGTTATAGTAGTTACTGAATAGATGAAATATTCTTTCTATTTTTCAAATTTTTATAATAATATAACTCTACTTTAATAAAAGACTTTTGCATATACAGGAGAGAAATGGATTAGAAAATACATTCTATGTGACTGTGCTTAGCTATTAATATTTACCTTCAGAAAATAAGTGTTCAATCCTGTTTACTAGTTTTTCTTTGTTTGCATGGAATTTCCTTCTTTTGTTATATTTCCAACTTAAAAGAGATTAAGTGCTGTTGATTTTTTCAAAAATATCATGTTAAGCATTTTACACCTTTTTACATACATTATTTCACTTTTTCTGCATAATAAGTATGTGACCTAAATTTTTCCTCTTCAGAAATGAGAAAACAACCGCTAAGCTGATCAATGCTGTTCTGATTTCTACTGTAGTGCAGCTTTTAATTTTGCTTTAATTTTAAGTTAAATAGAATTAGAGAATTAAACTTCCACTTAATTGCAGAATCAAGAGTTCAGGAAACATTTTAGCATACTGTGCCCTCTGGTGGGCATGTCATTACCATTAGACTTACTTTGCTGGTTGTCACTGTTTTTAAAAAAAAAGAATGTTTCAGAAATAGAATTGTTTTGTAGATAAATTTAAAAGCCAAATAATCCCGCCTGGGAATTTTTTTTAGCTGTTGGGATGTCTTACAGACTTAATTTCTACACCTTCAGTTAAAACATTCACCTTCTATAAATAATACAAAAGCAATGTTTGAGATGGTTGGCTTCTTCCCTAGACTGAAGATGGTAACCTAATTGTTGAAGGAATGTTGGACATTTTCTGGGGAGTAAAACGGCCTATCCAACTGAAAATACAAGATGAGAAACAAATCCCTTCTTTCGGTGTGCTGGAGTCACCAGAAGCTTTTTCCAAAAGGTGAGCTAGCTTTTATGGTTTTATTTCCTTAGAAAATGATCTTCATAATTATCTTCCTTGTGCACACTCGAAGATGCAAGCTCTAAAGCTTATGTCCAATCTTATTTAATCCCCCAGCAACTCTAGAAAGTAGGTGTTCAGAAACCAGGGCTCTGAGAGGTTAGGTGGTTTGTGCAAGATACCCAGTTACCATCCAGCAGAGCTGGACTGGACCTCAGGTCTGTGGACCCCAGGTCTGTGGACCCCAGGTCTGTGCCCTTGGCCTCTCTGCTGTAGTTCTTCTCTTCTGGGAGCCTTCATTCTTTCCCTAGCATAGATAAGCGATACAGGCAAGATTTCTTTAGCCCACTGTGCTTATCAGCAAAAAAGGAGGATGAAATTTAAATTTCCCCTTTTCATGGAACAAAGGGCTTTCCCTGCTTTCTGGAAAGGAGACTTATGTTCCATCTGATTGCTGTGTCCTGTTAAACAGGATCAGGACAAAGGACAGGTGAAGTATAATACATGCCCAGAACAGTTCCCTGCACAGGTTTATGTGACTGTACCTTGAAGACATAAGTAGAGTTGATAGATATTTTCATTATCCTTTACAATGTTTAGGCTTCCCCGGTAGGTCAGACAGTAAAGAATTTGCCTGCAATACAGGGGACCCAAGTTCTATCCCTGGGTTTGGAAGATCTCCTGGAGAAAGGAATGGCAACCCACTCCAGTATTCTTGCCTGGAGAATATCATGTCAGAGGAGCCTGGCAGGCTACAGTCTTTGGGGTCGCAAAGAGTTGGATACGACTGACCAACTAACACACATATAAATCTTGTTTTCTTCTTCCCTCCCTCCCTTTTTGCCTTCATTTTCAATCGTTGGCTTTCTAATGCATCTTTCTTTTATGTGTTCATGGAGATATCAATCCTTCTCTTCATCCACCCTTCCATGAATAACTAGATGAGCTGGAGTTCCAGCAGGACAGAGGATGGAGAGAGAGCAGCGAGGACCTTTTCCTCAATCTGACCTTTGGCCATAACCAAGGTGATACCCATATCACTGTCAGGGCAGCCCTACTTTTCCCTTGGAGAAACACAGAAGTCTCACTATTGCAGAGGTTGCACACAAGTTGCACACCTTGCCAACCTTTTCCAATGTTACGCTCCCGTAATTCTGAACATTTGGTAATTGCCTACATGCATCGTGTGGTTTCTTACTCCCCTGACTCTGCCTAGGAGCCTACCTGCTTCTCGATATCCACTTGCTGACTCTTCCACCAGTCTTTTAAGATTCAGGTCAGCAACATTTTCTCCAGAAAGCCTTTTCTGACCCTTCAGTCTGTAGCAGGTGCACTGACAACTTTTCCATGTCACTTTCAGAGCATGCTGTTAATTGAATTTTCATATACCTGCCTCCCCCCCCTAGTCTATGAGCTCCTCACAGGTAAGGAGCATGCCTTACTCATCTTTATCCCTATGCTCAGCAGTGAGCCAACACAAAGACGGGACTCAAAATATAGTATTGAATGAAACCCTCAGAATCCTGGTGGTTAAATACCTCTGCTCTGCTGTGTGAACTTTCTCTCCATCTACCGCTTCGGATTAGTGTCCCATCCAAGCAATCAAAGGACAAAGAGTCCAGCGCTTATGAAATGGCAGAAGAGAAACCACAGACTTAGGCAATCTGATGAAATCCTGTATCCTTCGCCTTCAGGTACTAAGTGATTGATGGGCTGGTGGTTCTAAATGACTAGGAACATCATTTAAAAGTAGAAATTACCCTGGGTCCTACTTTTAGGAAACTATACAAGATATGAATTTGGCAAAATTAGATATCATTCTTCATATTGCCTAAGAACTCATTGCAAAGTTCTCTGAGCTGTCATCTCCTTTCGATGCGTTTTAATTAGTTGAATCGTGAAAACTTAATTAGTATGAGACATTATGGGGAGATGTCAAGGAAATGCAGTAAGCTACCTAAATTATCACATTAAGCTCTCATGATTTTGAATATGTATCCCAAGATATATTTTTTAATTTTCCAAATTAAAAGTCAAAACACTTATTCCTAGAAACCCTGAACTTGAGGATGAGTTTCAAGAGCCCAGGTAGACAAGGTATATTAATGTCTTTCCATATTCTATGGAAGATTATAAATTAATATTCTCATGAGTTGCCTTCTATAAAATCCATTTGCCTTTTTCATTTTTTAGCAGAATAATGCTGTGAACCAAAGATAAATTATCTCCTTTAGGGACTTCCCTGGCAGTCTGGTGGTTAAGACTCTGCACTTCCAATGCAGGGGGCATGGGTTCAATCCCTGGCTGGGGAACTAAGATCCCATATGCTGTGTGGCATGACCAGAAAAAAAAAATCTATCTCTTTTTGTTTCAAGTTGAGATAGACTACCCTTGAAAACTTTGCTTGCTCTTTACCACAGTAATGAGACTTACTGGGAGAATATTTGAAGTGCATATTTGCAGGATATGAGATTTTTCTGGTGAGTAAAAATTGTCAGAAAATGACCACACTCCTCTCCCACAAAAGAGCAAGATTAGATTCAATTGATTCAATTGTGATTAATTATCCAAGAAGCCTTTGTGGGAACCAGCTGAACAGTTAGCCGGAAGTTGTAGCACAATTTGGAATAACTGTTCCTTGACCTCTTGTTCCCTAATGGGATGCAGTCCCCACTAAAGTATTATGTGTGCATGAATGCTAAGTCACTCAGTTGTGTCCAACTCTTTGTGACCCTATGGACCATAACCCACGAGGCTCCTCTGTCCATGAGATTCTCCAGGCAAAAATACTGAAGTGGGTTGCCATGTCCTCCTCCAGGGGATCTTCCTGACCCGGGCATCGAACCTGTGTCTCTTTAAGTCTCTTGCATTTGCAGGCAGGTTCTTTACCACTAGCGCCACCTGGGAAGCCCCTAAAGTATTATACTTTGTTTCAATTCAGTTCTAGACACCCTCACTCTGGTTGCCATCCTTTAGGTGGTATTATTTAAATTTTGAGCCTTGAGTGAAATTGTGTAAGGAAATGGACTATCACTACTCACTCCCTAAGAATTTTTATTTCTCCCTTTCTCATACTGGGCTTCTGCAGGCAGAATTACACCTCTGTTCTCTCAGGTTCACAGACTTAATATCTCCAGTGGTTGGATGTGGTACAAAAGATGTGGATGTTGTGTACTCAGCTGCAGGAAGGGCTATAATCTTTTCTTTCAACTCACCTTTGGAGCGAATCAAGCTACTTTGTTTACATTATCTTTGAAATGAGTCACCTTGAATCAGCTTAATGGGAGTGGTAACAGTTTAAAAACATATCAGTTTGAGCTGTGACCACTTGTGATCCTTTATGGAAACACTTCTGTGGGCAGTACTTTGATATCTCATAACTGGTCCAAGTATTTTGTTTGGGAAATTTTTTGTAAAAACAACCTTACTGAGGTTATGTTTGCTGGCACCAGTTTCCCTTTCTGTTTTCAATGTCTTTCCAAAGTCTGCTTTGACATGCTTTGGACAAGTCATGGCAGAATGGCATAAAGAGCAGAAACTGGACAGATGTCCATTTGAATAACATCAATAGTGTTTTTCCTTTCTTACCATGTGAGTAGAGAAGTGACCACCTTCAATTTGTCCGTCAAATTTTGACCTCCTTTTTATTTTGCAGCTCATTAGAATACTTCCCCACAGTTTAAATTTGCTAATGGTATTTATCCTGAAACTTGGTCAGAGCAAGGCTGACGTGCACATGCTTGGGCAACTTAAACTATTTGATGTTACATAAAGTTGCACCAGTTTTCTTTAGAAAACTTTGGGTCACTGCATTCAAGCTTAGTCATGTGCACAACTGTATATGGAGACACTTCCAATTACATAGTCTAGAGCTGAAAAGGGTTAGGCTGGGGGTTGGTAATTTGGGGGTGGAGGCGCTTGTTTTTGCCAAGATGGTAAGGAAGAAAAGGGCCCAAACCCTGGCTCTATTAAGCCGTGTTTGTTCCTCTGTATTTGTGTGACATCACTGAGCTGAGAGAGGATGAGGACAGGTGTCAAGTTGGGCGGGACTACCAAGAATTTATAGCACATCACTGGTCTGGTATGCTTGGGCTCTCTCGTCTTCCCCCATGGGAGACAGCATTAGGTTGCTTTGACTTTTTAGTTTCTATTTTCACTGTTATTCTGTTTTGTTTTTTTTTTTTCCATGATTGACCCACTCCAGTATTCTCGCCTGGAGAATTCCATGGGCAGAGGAGCCTGGCAGGCTACTGTCCACGGGGTCTCAAAGAGTCAGACACAACCGAGAGACTAACACTTTCACTTTCAACACTCTTCTATGATGATCACATCTGCCTTTTTAAATTAATCTTCTATACATTGCTAATTTTGTCTATCAAAAGAATAACTAGAAAAGGGAACCCTCCTCTACTGCTGGTGGGAATGTAGATTGGTACAGCCATTATGGAGAACAGTATGGAGGTTCCTTAAAAAACTAAAAATAGAGCCTCCATATGCTCCTGCAATCCCACCTCTGAGCATATATCTGGAAAAGATGAAAACAATAATTTGAAAAGATGCTTGCACCCCAGTGTTCAGAGCAACACTATTTACAATAGCCAAGACCTGGAAGCAACCTAAATGTCCATTGACAAATGAGTGAATAAAGATGTTATAGCATATATATACATACAATGGAATATTATTCAGCCATAAAAAGAATGAAATAATTTCACTTACAGCAACATGGATGGACTTGAAGAATATCACACTGCATGAACTCAAAGGCAAATATCACAAATATCATTTACATATGAAATCTTAAAAATGATGCAAGTGAACTTATTTACAGAACAGAAACAGACATAGAAAACAGACTTATGGCTACCAAATGGAATAGTGCAGGGAGGGATAAATTAGGAGTTTGGGATTAACAGATACACACTATTGTATGTAAAATAGATAAACAAGGACCTACCATATAGCACATATGCTACCATATAGCATATTCATATCATCTAACAACCTATAATGGAAAAGAATCTGAGAAAGAAATATATATACATATGCATACATATATCTTAACCACTCTGCTGTACACTTAAAACATTGTAAATCAACTATGCTTCAATTTAAAAAAAGTAAAAGGAAGAATAACTAGGGTCTGAGTCAGGGCCGGAATTGTTCTCCTTTGAGTTAAAGTTGCTAAGTAAAGTTGTTGGACTTCTGGGACATTTGTTTTGACTGGTTATATCCTGGATGGTAGAGCTTAATGGAAAATTAATAGACCTGTTTATTAGGATTATCTTATCTATATCACAAGGCTATTATTGTGAGACTCAAATGATATAGAAGTTGTAAAAAGACTTCAAAGGAATTCAAGGGTCAAAGAAGAAAGGATCATGTTTATTCGTATTTACCACCATTTGTATGAATAAGCACTTTGTGGTGTTGCTGCTACCAGTGACATTTGGGTAGAATTAATGTCATGAACTCCCTACGGGTGAATATTTTTTGGCCATAAGGAAAACAGACATTGGAAGAGACTCTTAGTAAGAGCTAAGACTAGTCCCAGATATGATAGTTATCTATTAACCTAGAGAGATCTAGGAATACCTTGGATCCCTAACGGCTCCAGATCCATCATGAAACAGATATAGATGATGGGGACTGTGATGAGGATGACAATGAAGAAGATGACCACGGTTTGTTTAACACATATTGAGTGCTTACTGTGTGTTGGGTACTTTTTCAAGGATTTTACATAAATTAACTCATTTAATCCTTTTCAACAATCCTATCCCACCTCACTCTATGTTCATCCCCATTTTACAGGTGAGAACATTAATGCACAGAGAAAATAAGTAACTTAATTAAAGCCAGAAAGAAAATAAAAAATGAGCCTTGAACCAACTGGTAAAGATAAGCAGTTGCCCAGTTTTATTTATTCTGGGCATTAGAATGCATTGAAAATTAATAGTACACTTTATAAATCATGATGTCCCAGAAAAGGAATCTTTTCCAGAGATTTTCCTGCTCTATAAATTGCATTCTTTGTAATGCTCAAGGGTCTTACAAGATAGGTTTTATATCTTATTATCCTGGAATCACTTTACTTTAAAATGCTTTGAATACAATAGGAGCTCAATGCAAGTTAGAATAAACACTTTTGTTTCTAAATGCACTGAAAAGCATAGTGAGGTATCTGTATAAGAATGGATTTTGTTGGTTTCTACACATTCCGTACATTTTACAGAATCTATATAATTTTTTGTTTCAGTATGTAACTAACGTACTGAAACACATGCTAAAAATCAGTACAAGAATTAATTAAAATGCATGTTGACTACTCTGGTATAGATATAGTTTTACTAATATAAAAATTGTTATAATTTAGGCTGGTATGTCTACCCACAGAGGCCCATGGTACTATATTAATATTGTAAATCTGGAAACCATCATAGGCCCTTTGATAAATAGAATTGATATCACTTATACAATTTATTACTTTTCAGGGGAATGACACGCTGGGGAGAATTTGATGATCTTTATCGCATTAGTGACTTGGACAGGGATCAGATTCCAGTGTCTGGAGGAACAGGTTCCCAGGAAGGTCAGTATCAAACTCTTATTAATGAGGAGACTCTTTTAGATACTATAATGCATGAATCCTAAATGTTTCTCTGAAATATAACATTTTATATACCATTACTTATTAAACTCTTATTTTATATTTTAAAAATGTATCTTAGGAGCATACCAACTTAAGTCACTACAGTGCTCATATAATGTTTAAGAACCTTACTTTGCTATATAAAAGCATTTTTTTTTAATTGTATTAAGTCACTTAGCTTTATTAGATTAGGGAGAACTAATGGTTTGAATAAAGCTTTTCATACATAAAATTGTTCAATATTTCCTCCCAAGGATTAGGATCATTTATAACACTCAGTAGTTGTTTATGTTAAGGCCAAGCCCTTCAGGTTGAATTCTACATCTTTTGAGAAGCTAAACATTTTAGTTAATACTTAATATGACATGGCTTCTCAGAGGCAGATATGCTGGGTTTCCTATATTTGATAGTGTTGTTTTAAGCATTTATATGGCTGAGTTGCTCTGCTCTGTACCTGAAACTATCACAACATTGTCAATCAGCTATATTCCAACATAAAATAACAAGTTTAAAAAAAGAGAGAGAAATCTACTTAAATATCAAATGAGTTCATATCAAATTTGACAAACCAATGGAAAAGGCCAGCTCCTATGACCTGTGACATCAGTAATCATAACAATGATGATATAATACTGTTAATTTTCTGTCATTTACTGAGACAGGCATGATATCTTGTATTTTACATGGATTTTCATTTTTATATGGTATATAGAGATCCAAGGAGGAGCTGATGACTGAGACTGGAGTAGGGTTCACATTTCTGGAATGGTGATATTAGCAGGCTGATTTCAGATTGAGCAAGGGTATCATGCTGGCATTATCTTCACGAAGCTACCAGCAACTTCCAATGTGTAATTTTTTTCAAAGCATTCTCAATTCATCCCTTCTACTGTCCTTTAACAACTCATATTCTATAACAAACATGATGCTCCTTCCAGGACTCCCTTATTTTTGTCTTATGGCCTTTTGGCATCTTTTATATGATGGTCCTTATATTAATAATTAATCCATTGACAACACTCATTTCAACACAGGGGAATCCCAATATCTTGCCACCAAAGATACAATAAAAATCTATTTGCATTTAGCACCAGTGCTAGAGAAAGATGAAACATCACTTGCTTATACTCTAACTACAATTAAATTAAAATTCCAAGGTAAAATGGAACACAAATGTCACCAGATGGCCCTATTCTTAAACAAGATCATTGCTATTTTCTGTTTAAAAGAATGTTAGTCCATTGCTTAGCCACATAATTACTTATTAATACTAATCCATCCATGATGCAAAGAGATGAGCAGCTAAATTATATGGGTTTATAACCTTTATTCTTCCCAGACTATTTATCTTATCACAGTAGCACTCTGAAGCCTCATGCAAACAAAGAGCCTGAATCCCCATTCCTCTACAGAACTATGAGTGAAGCAACCCTGGTGAGGAAAAGGATGAAGCCTCCGATGATGGACAGAAAAGACAGACAGAAGCATAGGGCCTCTATTAATGGACACTTTTATAACCATGAAGTGAGTTACAATTCCATTAATGTCATTTAAAAGAATGCTGTCTATTGTGCTAACAATATCACTGTATTGAATTTACAATTCAAACTTACAATACTATCAGATATACTACTGCTATTATTACTGGGTACTCTCTGTTTATTTGGCATGAAATTGTTTTGCTGGATTATCTCATTACTCACTAAAACATAATCATATGAAGTAGATACTATTATTTTCCCTATTTTACATGTGAGTTAACTGAGGCTCACAGCTGCTGTTCAATCACCCAGTCATGTCCAACTCTTTGCGACCCCATGGACTGCAGCACGCCAGGATTCCCTGTCCTTCACCATCTTCCACTTTGCTCAAATTCGTGTTTATTGAGTCGTTGATGCCATTCAACCACCTCATCCTCTGTTGTCCCCTTCTCCTCCTGCCTTCAATCTTTCCCAGCATCAGGGTCTTTTCCAGTGATTCAGTTCTTTGCATCAGGTGGCCAAAGTGTTGAAGCTTCAGCATCAGCCCTTCCAATGAATATTCAGGGTGATTTCAGGATTGATTGACTGCTTTGATCACCTCAGATTCACAGACATTCACAGAGGTTACACAATTTATCACAGGTCACACTGCTTTTAAGTACCAACTCTGAACTCAAATCCAGCTTTGTCTGATGCCAGAACCCAAGTTCTTAACCAGCACGATTGGTGAACCCTAAGTGGCAGACCCCATGATACACACTGGAAATATACAGATAGCTCAGCTGGTGCCTTTGCCAGCATGGAGCTTAGTGCTGGGGCAAAGAAACCAATACATCCGTAAATGTAATTAGAATCATGTAAGTGCTACAAAAGATATTGGTTTAAAGTATATTCAAACATTAAATTTGAAATAAAAGGATTAAGTCAACTATAACCCTGTTTATTCTGATCAGTTAAATTTCTAATTCTAGGTCTTGCACATATATACATATCACTTTTTACACAAGTACAATTATAGTTTATATAATTTATATTCTGATTTTTTCACTTAATATGTGTTGAACTTATATGTGCCTTTCTGTAATATTTGTAAGACATTTAACTTGGCCGAAGGTAGGAAATAGATCATTTTTTTTCTAGAACTCAAATTTTTTATGTCATGTATTTTAACAATCATTCATCCATTCATTTAATAAATACTTTAAAACCACTCTATGTGAGGCACCATTTTAAGCTCTTTCATACAAAATATTAATTCATTCATCATAAGCTTTTTCCTTAGAGGGCTTTCTACCTTTTTCCTTCTTCCTCCCTTGGAAGGATATCCATATGTCCCTTTGGAGACTGGTGGGGAGAAATCTCCCCTGTGAATTTTTGGTTCAAATTAGACATTTTTCCGTCTCAAGAATTTCCTCCCTGGCCAAAACATAGTATTGACAGTCCCCTACAGATATGCAACTACCAATAGTCCTGGTCTCTTCTCTTCAGAATTACGCTGTATGTCATCAGCACATGTAGGGTGGTTTGTGTTAAGAAAGGCTGTGAAAGCCACGTACTTCTAAATGAGCAGCTTCCAGATTGGTCCACAGTACTAAGAATGAAATCGGCACTAGGTTGGCAGCACAGCATCATAATTCAAATTCTTGGTCTTTGCAGTTTGATGACTTGATTGCAAATTCTTGCTGAACAAATAAAAAATCTCAGTCTCCTAGCTTTCATCCTTCCTTCTTTACAAGGCTGTTCATGGGATTAAGTGGATTGAGGTGAATTCAGCACTTAGCATAGTGTCTGCACAAAGGAAGAACTCAGTTTACATTAGTGTCATTGCTGTTTATTGAAAGAGATCAAGTGAAACTAAAAATATTTCATACAAATGTCATTCACTACAGTATAATAACTAGCAGAAAATGAAACCCCAAAACCCAAAGCACCCTATCAATGGGCATGCAATGATGGGCATCTAGGGATTTAAGTTGAAATAGTTGTAAGATATGTTTTTATATCATGAAAGCTCTTGATAATGCCAATATTGAATAACACACTTATTAGAGGCTTAGATTGTGATACATAGTCCCAAGGAAATACTTCCAAGACCCCCAGTGGATGCCTGAAACCAAGGTTAGTACTGAATTCTATATATACTATGTTTTTCCCTATACATATTTACCTATGATAAAGTTTAGCTTATAAATTAGGTAAAATAAGAGATTAACAACAATATCTAACAATAAAGTAGAATAATTATAATAATACACTGTAAAAATGTTATGTGGATGTGGTCTTTTCCTCCCTCTCAAAATATCTTATAATACTGTATTCAACTTTATAAGGGCAGGAGATGATAAAATGCCTATGATGTGACAAGATAAAGTGAGGTAAATGACGTAGGCATTGTGATGCAGCATTAGGCGACTAATGACCTTCTGACAGTATATCAGAAGGAGGATCATCTGCTTCAGGTGATCCTGGACCATCAGGCTGAGATGAAGTTGATAGATGTCTGTCAGAAGCAGACATTGTCAGTGGGTGGGGATCTTGAGCAGGGTGGAGTAGGATGGTGCGAGGTTTTATCATGCTACTCAGAATGGCTTCCCTGGTAGCTCAGATGGTAAAGAATCTGCCTGAAATGCAGGAGATCTGGGTTCAACCCCTGGGTCAGGAAGATCCCCTTGAGAAGGGAACAGCAACCCACTCCAGTGTTCTTGCCTGGAGAATCCCATGGACAGAGGAGCCTGGTGGGCTACAGTCCATGGAATTGCAGAGTTGGACACTACTGAGCAACTAACACTTTCAGCACATTTTCCAAATGCCACACAGGGACTTCCCTGTAAGACTTTGCCTTCCAATGCAGGGGGTGTGAGTTCGATCCCTAGTCAAGGAGCTAAGATCCCACATGCCTGTGGCAAAAATAGAAAAATCATAAAACAGAAATAATATTGTAACAAAGTCAATAAAGACTTTAAAAGTGGTCCATATCAAAAAGAAAAAAAAACCTCAAAAAAAAAAAAAAGAATGGCATACAATTTAAAATGTGTGAATTATTTCTGGAATTTTCCATTTAATTTTTTCATCTCAGGATTTTATTTTAAAATAGGAATAAAATTATGAGTAAAAAATTTATGGTTATATGTTTCTTATAATTTTTATGGTGCATTACTAATCCCCAAGAGGGATGTGTCAGACTTATTGGATCATGGCAGCTGTTTACCAAATTTCATCTAAAGGGCCGACTATTGATTAAAGCAACTTGTGGGAAGGATTGTTCTAAATATTCAATTAGCAGGACTTTTACCCAAATCCTCAGTTGAAATATAAGCTGAATCACATGAAATTGCCAGCATTGGACCATTTCTGACCAACTGGAAAGGAATGATTTCATATGGTTCAAATGAAAACAAGTTAGAACAATTACTCCCAAACAGGAGGGAATTTTGAAATCTTAAATTACAGTAAAGAATGGTACAATTATCTAATGAAAATATTTCAAACATTCTCAAACAATGTTTTACCTAACTTACTCTAGAAACAATATAAAGCTGCTTAAAGCCATACATAGTACTCAGCAACCAAAACAAAGAAAGTAAAAATAAGAAAGCAAAATTTTAAACTCATGATCTTGGATTTTTTTGTGCAAAGGAAGGCCAGATTCAAGAGACAGACTCTTGCTAGTTTGTCACATATGTCCTGAAAATTACAACCATCTTTTTTTTTTTCTTCTAGACGTCAATTTTCACTCCAGCTTTTGGATCAGAAACTAAGGTCAGAGTAAATAGTAATATGAGAACTGAAGAAGTAATAAAGCAAATTCTCCAAAAATTTAAGGTAATCTTTATCAGTGAACTGAACTATAAATATCTTGTGTATAATTTAATTGTAAACACATAAATGGATTTTTCTGAAAAAGACATATAAGCATGTATATCTAAATTAAATATTCAGTTCCAAAAAATTCTTTCCTATGTATAAGTTGACCCTTGAAAAACACCTGTTTGAACCCCATGGGTCTATTTAAATATGGATTTTTTTGGTTAGCTTTTTATTTTGTATTGGGATACAGCCAATTAACAATGTTGTGATAGTTTCAGATAAACAGCAAAGGGACTCAGCCATGCATATTCATATACATGGATTTTTTTTTCAATGCATATATTACTATTTACAGTACATGGTTGGTTGAATCCATGAATGCAGACCCTAGAACACAAAAAGTCAACCGAGGCCCTAGAGTATACATGGATTTTGGTATCCACAGCAGATACCAAAAAACAACTATAGAACATCTTTTAGTATCTTCACTGAGAAATTCACAGAGGAATTTTATATCTCAAAGTGAAAAGTTAAAGTGAAGAAACAGATACATAATCTGGGTCTGGTTGGCTTAGAAAACACTGACAAAGAATTCATGTCTGTTCATTCTTTTCCATTGACAGATTGAAAATAGTGCCCAGGATTTTGCACTTTACATTATTTTTGCAACAGGAGGTAAGAAAACTTGGTTATTCTTACATGACTGCAATGTGTTGTTGGTTCCTGGCCATTAATAAGGCAGAAAAGCAGTTTACCTCTTTCTGTGGAAGAAAGGGAAGGAGGGAAGGAAGAAAGAAGAGAGGTGGAGTGTTTTAGATTATTCATTCTTTACAGTTTCAAAGGAAGACAACCTAAGAATAAGAGATCGTAGAAGAGCTTATAACACAAAAGACTTTGCTTGTTGGCCAGGCATTAAACTATCTGAATGGTGATCAAAGAGCCCTGGAGAACAGGTGGAAGATTCCCAGGAATTGTAGGCATTTTGGTTGTTGATCTTTGTATTCCTTTCTTTTTCATTTTCCCTTATCATTCTCGCTTTTACTAGTCATCATTGCATACCATTATTCCCTATCTCATCGTTACCTCTTTCTTAGCACAGTGTCTGACACATTATGGGAGAGTTCCCTCTTCCTCAGTAGAGAAAAATGTGCAGAACTATGTGGTGGGGGTAAAAGTTAGCATCAGGACCTTGCAAAGAGACTATGTGTGGGGCGCAAGGAGCAAAGAGTAAAAGATGGATTAGATAAACCCTAAGGCAATATTGAAATGAAATTTTTGAGAGCCTTAAAATAGAAAACCCAGAAATAAACCCTTGCACCTATTGTCAATTAATCTATGACAAAGAAGGCAACTACACAATGTTGGAGACAGTCTCTTCAACAAATGGTGCTGGGAAAATGGGACAGTTAGATGTAAAAAAAAGAAAAAAAAAAGTTAGATCATTCTTTAACTCCATATAAAAAAATAAGCTAAAGATGGATTTAAGACCTAAATGTAAGATTGCATACTATAAAACTCCTAGAGGAAAACATAGGCAGAACACTCTCTGACATAAATCGCAACAAAACTTTTTTCAATCTGTCTCCCAGAACATTGGAAATAAAAACAAAAATAAACAATGGGACCTACTGAAACTCAAAAGCTTTTTCACAGCAAAGGAAGCAATAAACAAAACAAAACTATAGCCCACTGATTGGGAGAAAATGTTTGCAAATGATGTGAATGAAATGGAATTAGCCTCCGAAAATTACAAACAGCTCATGCTACTTAACAGCATCAAAACAAACAGCCCACTCAAAAAGTGGGCCAAGGACCTAAACAGACATTCCTCCAAAGAAGACATACAGACAACCAAGAGGCACATGAAAAGATGTTCAGCGTCGCTAATTATTAAACAAATGCAAATTAAAACTACAAGAAGATAGCACCTCACACCAGCCAGAATGGCCATCATTAAAACTGAAAAATTTTGAAGTTAAATTATAGAAATGGCTCATGTTGTAATTTAAGGGTCTGATCACTTGAGCCAGAAATTGAATAAATAAAATACATTTTGATCCAGAACAACTATAAGAAAATGGAAAATTGGATATCCAAACATATACAAAATTAAAGTCCTTACAAATTGAAAGCTTAAATATAAGAAATATATATATAAATTTTTGAAAGTTCTGAGTGTGTGTGTATATTCATTCTGGTTGTTTAGGAGAAAACTACAAGATAAAAATGCTGGACTGTATAAAATGTAAAAGATACAAATAAAAGATTATGAAGATTATCAGATGAAAGATTAATACCTACAGTATCAAAAAGTTCTTGCAAAGTGATAACAAAAAGGCAACCAATCCAATAAAAATACAAAGAAGTATGATAAAGCAGTTCAGAGAATAACAAAATAACCTGTAAATATTTTTAGGAAAGTCTAAAACTTAAGCGAATGCAAGTATTAAAAGAAATGCAAAGGTCAAGGACATGTATATTCAACCTACAATGCCATATTATCTTTTATCTGTTTCTACCTACTGGCTGGCATGGATAAGAGTAAAAGAGTATGTTCATGCAGTTCTGGAGAAGATATGACTCCTCCTTTCTTGGAACTCATTTTAGCAATATTTATTAAAAATCTATAATATACATATTCCTTAGCCCTGCAAATCCACTGGTGAGAATCTGTTTCATAAAATCAAAGAACTATTACCTACATATTTATATGCAAGGTTATTTATAATGATAGAAAGCCAAAGGCAAAGTTACCCATCATAGAAGAATGATTTAATACGTGATTAATATGCAGCTATTAAATGAAATGAGTTAGATCTGTACTAGTTGGATGGAGGGAACTCTACAATACATATTTATTAAAAATGCAACATGCCTATACATGTATAGAGTATGATTTCATTTTTTAAAAAGAATTATAAATCCCTATTTAAATATGTGGTTTATATGAGTATATGATTAGGGAGAAAGGTATGGAAAGATAAATTCAGAAAAGACAATGGGAAGGAGAAAAAGCATTAAAAAAAAAGCAAAAAATAAACTTTGATTTTTTTAAATGTGTACAATAAAAATAGCAAGTGTGATATGACCCCTTTTGTGTATTGTCTGTGTGTGTACCTAAAGAGACATGTGGAGGAGTGTCCTCTCAAAGTGAAACACTGCTTATCTCAGAGTTCTGGGATTCTGGGGAATTTTTACTTTCTGCCTTGTGCTTTTCCTCATAATTACAATTACGTAACCTCATAACCCAACACTGTATAAGGGTTTTTAACTTTATTGATAAATAATTAGGATAATTGACAAATATAATTGAATATATTTAAAGTGTACAACATGATTTGACATACATGTACACTGTGGACTGATTGCCATGATCAAGATAATCAACACATCTATGAGCTCACATAGTTAACGTTTTTTTTCTTGGGCTGAGAATGCTCAAGATCTACTCTCAGCAACTTTCAAGTGTACATTAGATCCTCAGAATTTGTTCTTCTAATAACTGAAAATCTGTACCCTTTGACCTACATAACCTCCTTTCCCCTCTCACAACATGTATGTTATTTTAAAATCAGAAAAAAGAAGCCTATTTTTACTATAAAACTATAGTTCTTTACATTTTACCTGCGAAAATCACATTTCTTATACGTGAAATTTCTTATACATGAAAACTGAAGGTAATCATAACTAAGACCTTTTTAGGGACTAAGAATAAGGAAAAGAATGGAGCAGAGTGCCTGTTTGGATAGTAATGTGGAAAATAGATTAGTGTATTTTTAAAACCTTTTATCTACTAAGCCCATGATCTATAACTGTTTCTCAAATTGTGGCACACTTCAGAATGACCTGGAGAGTTCATTTAAAATACAAATTCTCAAGCCCCTCCAGATCTAAGGACAGTCTGGGAATACATATTTCTAATAATTATCCCAGGTAACCATGAAGTAAGAAACATTGCTTTATATTATCAAGCATAAAACAAATTGAGGATGCATACCCAAGCTAACATAAGATGTAAAGTTCAAAAGACGGTTCTGCCACACAACCCAGCAATCCCACTGCTGGGTATACACACTGAAGAAGTCAGACTTGAAAGAGAAGCGTGTGCCCTGATATTCATCGCAGCACTATTTACAGTAGCTAGGACATGGAAGCAACCTAGATGTTCATCAGCAGATGAATGGATAAGATAGTTGTGGTACATATACATGATGCAATATTACTCAGCTATTAGAAAGAATGCATTTGAATCGGTTCTAATGAGGTGGATGAACCTGGAGTCTATTATATAGAATGAAGTAAGTCAGAAATAAAAACACTAATACAGTATATTAACACATATATATGGAATTTTAAAAGATGGTAATGATGACCCTATATGCAAGACAGCAAAAGAGACACAGATATAAAGAACAGACTTTTGGACTCTGGGAGAAGGAGAGGGTGGGATGATTTGAGAGAATAGCACTGAAACATGTATATTGCCATATGTGAAACAGATCGCTAGTCCAAGTCTGATGCATGAAACAAGGCATTCAGGGCCAGTGCACTGGGAAGACCCAGAGGGATGGGATGGGGAGGGAGGAGGGCGTTCGGGATGGGGACACATGTAATCCAGGCTGATTCATGTCCATGTATGGCAAAAACCACTACAATATTGCCTTCAATTAAAATAAATTAATTAATTTTTAAAAAAAGAGGGTTCTGGTGGGCAAATGAGAAGAGCTGATTTATCAAGGTTCCCCATTGCTTCAGAAGTCACAGAGGAATTAAAGCAGCAAACACTGACTCTGTGGACACGGTAATGAATCATATCACCAGTTGTGGGGAAGCTGGGCTTCTAAGTTCTGGACCCTGTCTTGTACTTTTTTGCCGGAGAAGTCCAGTCCAGGGGATGAGAACAGTTCTGACCCTTGGAACTTTTAAAAGCCCAAAGAAACACATGATGCCAGAGAGGGGACTAACTGGTCTACCTTTTTCCCGTCAGTCTATTTCAACAGAGCAGACAGTTCTTTAACCATGTGAGTCAGACTGTGTCACACCTCTTCTCAGACCCTCCGATGGTCTCCCTTCTCACAGCAAAGTCAGAATCTTTGTGCTGGTCCCATTACCTCTTCTCTTCATCACTTAATAGCCCTCTCCTCATCTCCATACCAGCCACCTTGTTCCCTAGCTGTTCTTCGACATCTTTAGGCATGCACTGACTTCATGGGTGCTCAATTTACTTACTTATTCTTTTGACACACACTTCCAGTAAATAGCTTCATGATTCCTCTCTCATCTCCTTCAGGTCTTTGCTCAAATATTACATCTTCAGTGTGGCCTTCCTCAGCCATTCTATCAATAATTTAAAACTTTTCCCTTGCATAAACATATTTGCACACATGCACACTTTCTACCCCCTTCCTTGAGTAATTTTCCCCCTGAATACTTATCACTATATATGATAGGTTTTATTGCTGTATCTTTCTTATCACCATCCTGTCCATGAGTGTAAGGTCCATGAGAGAAGTGATTTTACTCTGCTTTCTTCTATAGTGTTCTCAGCACAGAGAACAAGGCCTGGTGTATAGTAAGAACTCAAAAATTATTTGAGGAAGGAAGGAGGAAAGAAAATGATTGTAAAGGCACTGTGTCCTGTTCATGCTTCATTCTGATAAAAATGAAGTCACAGATGTGAAACTACTTAGGCAAAAATTAGAAATATTTTGTGGTAGAAGTGTTTATAATTTTTGGAAATTTGAAGTTCTGGGAACATACCAAATTGGAAGTTATTTTCTTTCTCATGTCATTATTATGGCTGAACGGATGAAGCCCATAGATGTATGAAATAATAAAAAAAAAATACTCCTAATATAAATAACAATTCAGAATATATTTTTAAAGAAAATCCAAAGATTGGATGTGGGGTGAGCGGGAAATGAAGAATTAAAGATAATTACAAAGTTTTGCACCTGAGCTACTAGAAGGATAGAATTACATTAATGGAACTAGGAAAGATCAATAAATATTTATTGAATGAATGTCTTTAGGTTTTGCAAAGGCAGAAATGGGACGGCAGTGTCTGAACATCCAAACCAAAGGCAAGGTTAGAATTCTCAGATAGAAAGTCAGATCTCAAAGGATAGCAAGAGAAAGTCTATTTTTAGTTCATTTAAAGATTTTAATTTCAACTTGCTTCTTTGAGTGAGTAAAACAACTCCTGTTCTTTATAGGTTTTACAAAGTAAGTAGAAGAAGCAAAATGAATGGACAAATTGTGTTCTTTTGTTTTTCTAGGATGGCCTCCTGACTGTAGTTGATTCTTATTTTCATTTGCAGAGCAGAAACGGCTAAATAAGACAGACATTCCGCTGCTGCATAGACTCCTACAGGGACCGTCCAAAACGAATGCTCGCATTTTCCTCATGGATAAAGATGCAGAAGAAATTAGCAGTGATGTATGGATGCCGTTGCCCTGAATCTGTCTTTGAGCTCTCCTGACCCAGTACCTCCCATACAAACACTCTATCTTTTTGTTTTTTCTTTCAGGTGGCTCAGTATATTAACTTTCATTTTTCTCTCCTGGAATCCATCCTTCAAAGATTAAATGAAGAAGAGAAAAGAGAGATTCAAAGAACAATAGCAAAGTAAGTCAAGAGCTCGCACACTGGGTGCTTGGTTCTTTAGTAGGTTTAATGCAGGAAATGTGTCAATGGTTAATACTCTTTTTCTCCTTATTTTCAGATTCAGTACAGAAAAGGCAATCATATTGAAATATCTTCGAAATAAACGGGTAATAAAAACAGAGACAACAGTTTAGCAGTACAGGTCACTATTGCTAAGACACTTGAACAAAATTAGAAGGTTTTAGTACTATTTCAGTGCATAAATTCTATACTTGCATTTTTTTAAAAAGTACGTGAACTTGAATCTATAGGAAATTGAATGTAAGGCCTGTCTCTCTCTGAAGTGAAGAGGTTAGGTAGGATTCACAGTTGGACTGAAAGAAACTTGAATTTAGTTTCAGTAACTAAAATAAGCTTGGATACTATGTATTCCAAATAGGTTTTAGAGTAAAACACTCAGTGAACTTGAATTTACATGGTATCTTCAGATACCATGTAGCTTAAGCATATTTAACTTCAGCTGTCAAGAGAACTATCATCAACTAGCTCTCAGAAATGACTCAGAAGTAATAGCTTCCAGCTCTTGAAATAAAATATCAGCACATTATTATCCCACCAAGAAATCTGATGGTGATGGTATTTCACAGTTCCTTAAACTCTAGCCTTTTCATAAAACCTAGGAGTGTCTTTCAGTCCTTCGAGCTATCTATAACATCAGAGCTACCTGTCCTTTGGGACAGAAAACATTATGGACTCTGTTAAGAAATCCAGATCATAATTCTCTCAACCTGAGCCCTTCTTTTTTCCCCCTCTGTTCTACTGATGAATTTCAAAAGTGTTCTTAAGATTTTTCTTAAGTCAATTGAACTAATTTTCTTTATTTTTCCAAGCAAACATATCATAGAGATTTAAGGTATTTCATCAGCTAGGATAAGACTTGACCCATGATAACCATTTGTTGCTGGATGAGTACAGAAGATAATGCGAAGCTGTGGGATCTGAAGTTTGGCAGGAAATCTGGAGCTCTGTTCTTTTTCTCCAGAATAACTCATTCTATAAGACAGGGCTCAGGGTCCTTCAAGTCCACTTCACCAGTCTGAAAAAGCATTGAGAATGCCACAAGTATCACCTGTGATTTTACTTATGAACTCTGTATTAAAATGGAGATTTATGCAGCTTTTTTCCATTCTATTTCTATTTGCATTCCTCATAAACATGGGACTCAATGGACTCACCAACTCAATGGACATGAATTTGAGTAAACTCCAGGAGCTGGTGATGGACAGGGAGGCCTGGCATGCTGCAGTCCATGGGATCACAAGGAGTCAGACACAACTGAGTGACTGAACTCAACTGAATAAGCATTGGATTAAATTGATTGTATTACACATACTATAGGATAAGGTTGAGTGTAGTAAACCCAGTTGGAAGATCAGTTATCAAAATATGAAACATGTTTAAGACAAAGATATTACTTCCCAATGTCACCAAATCCCAAACTGGACAAAAGTAAAAGTGTGCTATGAACTTTTCAGTCCTAGGAAATCTCCTCTATTGAATAAGATAGTGGCTTGCATCTTTATCCTTTTATCTATGAGTTAATAAGAAAGTCTCAACTCACTAAAATAAAGCAAATGTAGTAGTTAAAGCTCAGTATACTTATTTAAAGTAGTCTCAAGTACCTGCCATAAACATGACAAAAGAGCCATCTTTAATATCTTGAAAGTCTACAAAGTGGAAAAAAATAATAATAAGTAAGACACATGGTTTGAAAAGTAAAATTGCAGAAGTGAAAATGCAAATAGCTACAAGTGGGGGGTTATAATTTCATATAAAGAACTATTTAGCTGTGATAATAAGAGAGTAACTATAAAAATGGAAAGGGAACTCTAAAGGGTACCCTAGTCTGAGGAAGAATACCCAGCTAAGGAGAAGCTTGGAGGAAGGAGTTGAAATGCACTGAAGAAGGTGTGGCTGCAGCCCATCGCACAGAGGAAACGTGCTCTGCTCCCAGGACTCAACAGGGCCACAGCCATAGGATAAGCCGGAGCAACCCTCTGGCGCGTGGAGCCAGTGGGCAAGTGAGCACCGGGTCTTCTCTGTGGGCACAAGGCCAGATCACACAGTGTCGGCGTCTGGAGCGCTGCAGGAGACAAATTCTGGGGCCCAGGTAGGCTGAGGCTGAGGGGTGGGCACCCCGGTGAAGCCAGGGGCGCTGCCGCCAGTGCTGCTGGGACTGTGAGCTGCGGGAACCATCTCCGCAGGAGCCTAGTACATCTCTATGTATGCCGCGGGCTGTGGCATCTCTGAGGCTGCATGGGACAGAGATGGGGCAAGTGGCTTACTAGGTGGTCAGCCCCACAGAGCACTCTCTGGGAAGGTGTGGAGCGTCATGATCTGCGTTAGAGCCCAAGACTGTCAAGGGTTCCAGGCTGTGCCTCCGCAAACCGAATCAAGAGCTGCAGAAGGGGTTGCGGGAGCAAATGCTAAAGAAAGCTGCACCCACAGGCAACTAGCGCTGAAGAAACCATTCTGGGAGGAGCCCCGGAGGAAGAAAGTCAGCTTCCCGGGAACCTGGCAAGCCGGCCCCTACGAAATCAGGAAAGACCTGCTTTCCTCCTACAGCGCTTCTCCGGCGCCCTCTACTGGCGAAGCATGATATCATGTAGGCTGCAAAGGAAGCGTATTTCAGTGCTCTCCTGCGGCAGCTGGGGCCCCAGTAAAGCCTAGCCTGAAAATAAAGAATGGTTTCCACGTCCAGTTTCACAGAGCCAACAACAAAAAGTGAATTTGTAACAGAGAGGCAATAAAATAACTGGTATGTCAACAAAATGCAAAGAAAGTGAAATTGGTCTATTAAAAAGATGAAAAAATGATAATATTAAATACTCAACAAATTACAGTGAGATGTACTGTACTCGGTACTTAGACTACTGGCTCAGTGGCAAAAAATAATGCAGGACACCTGGGTTTGATCTTTGGGTTGGGAATATCCCCTGGAGAAGGAAATAGCAACCCACTCCAGTATTCTTGCCTGGGAAATTCCATGGACAGAGGAACCTGGTGGGCTACAGTCCATGGGATCATAAAAAGAGTCAGACATGACTTAGCGACTAAACAACAAAAGAGAAATAAATGAATATAACTTTCCTTGAAAGCAAATTTAGTAGTAAGTTTACCCTATAATTTTACTTGTAGGGTAAAATTACTTACTTATACTTACATATACTTACTTATACTATACTGCATATAAGTAAAATTACTTATATGAAAATAATCAGATGTACAAAGACACTATGTAAAGATGACTACTATTTATTGTGATAAAAGGAAGTAAATAGCCTAATGTTCAAAAATAGAAAAAAGATTAAAGAAGGAAAAACATTTACCCATAGAATGTAATGCAGCTCTTAGAATTGTTTTCTAATAAATTTTAATTATAAGAGTAAATTCCTCTTATGTTAAGATAAGAATATAGATACAAATATCCAAAAGTGTGCTATCTATAAGATAATAGATGTTTTTATATGGATATATACTATTATTGTATATATACATGTATGTATGTAGTATATATACTACAAACCAAAAGCATGTTAAATGTGGTTGTATCTGGTTTGTAGAATAAGGTATGGGTGATTCATATTTTTCATATTTGTTTATCTTATTAAGTAATTTATAATGAACATGTATTACTTTTTAAACCAGGAAATAGAAAATGTATGATTAAAAAGTTAACCAACGAAAAAGTAGCAAGTGCATGCAATCACAGAGTTCTATTAGATGCAACAAAAGGCAAATAAGCTATTCAAGTGAGACATTAACATCACTGCAGTGGTAGTTTTGAATATGTCTGTGAAGGCTTTGATACTCCGCCTTTCAAGAGACTGAGTCTAATCCTCCTCACCTTGCCAACGGGATGGACTTAGTGACTCACTTTTAAGGAGCAGAGGAGAGCACAGTGCCAGCTGTCGCTTGGGGAGACTGGGTCATGAAAGTCACTGCAGTGTCCTCCTTGCTTCTTCTCTTGGATTGCTTGCTCTGGGGGTGCCAACTGCCTCATCCAGTGTAGCCCTGGGGAAAGGCCAATGACAGGAGCCGAGTCCTTCTGCCAAAATCCAGCAAGGAATTGAGGTGTCCCCTCCACAGTCCACAGCCGTGTGAGTGGGCCATCCACTCAGCCCAGGCAAGCCTTCAGACTGCAGCCCTGTCTAAGAGCCTGCCTACAACCTCATGAGAGACCTGAGCCAAAACAAAGAGAAAACACCGGCTAAACCACTCCTGGATTCTTGATCCTCAGAAAATGTGTGAGATACAAAATGTTTGTTGTAATATCCTGCTACATTTTAGGATAAGTTGTTACATAACAATAGGTAACTGATAACAATTTCTGAGAGGAAATCTGTTCATTTCAAAGACATCTTTCTGTCATTCAAGAATATAAGCTTTTGTAACAGAACTATTCATCTTTGTTTTAAATGGTCCAAATATTTCACTACCAGTTACATATTAGTTCAAATTCAGTTCTATCTAGATAATGTTAAACTGATTAATGGTAGAGGTCCTGTCACATTCATCTTTGTATAGTTTGCTGTATTTAATATTGTGTCCTTTGTATAGGATGTGCTCAATCAATCAAAGAACTGAATAAATTAATGAATGAATAAAAGAATGAGTGAATAAATTGTCTAAAATATTTTTATAAAATCCCCTGTAAGTATGCTTCCTTTTTCACAAATCTGATCTAGTAGCTAAAAATATATAGAAACTTTTTCAAATGGTTATTCTCTAATATGGTGGTGTATTTTATTATCTCTTGGTAGTATGAAATATACAGTTAGGCAGTGTTACTATGGAATTTTGTTTAGGGTTTTTCCACATGGCTTCAAGCACTGAAGGAGAAAGAATTACATTTGCAAGGCGGTTGATGAGGTGGAAAAGATGGCAGATGTATCTATTATATTGAGATATCTACATGTGAAAGGAAAAAAAGGAATAGGATGCAATTCAAGAGGGCAAAACCCTTCAACAGTATTCATTTGTCTTCTAAATAACAGCTAACCTATTAGACTGAGACACTTGAAACTGTCCATATTTGGCCTACAAAGGCAACAGTTTCATATTGTTCAAACTAACCTCACTTAGCCTTTGTCAAGCACTAGTTTAAGTGCCTTCCATAGTTCAACTCATTTAACATTTATTACACTTCCAAGAAGAAATTAACCTTTAAATCCAACTGTAAAGATGAGGAAAGTAAGTCATGGAGAGGTTAGGAGGTTTGCTAAACTCTTTAGTAGAAGACCAAGTCTCTAGAATCCTTGGTTCTACAGCTCCAGAATCCGCACTATTAACCACAAGAGTACATGGCTTCACCCTACACTACACACCTTCAAATGGCAGTCTGTCTGTCTTCATTTGTAGTAAAGAAATAACAGTACCTACTGCATTATACAGTTTAGAAGTTACAGGAATAATACATTTGAAGGCTGGCACTTTGCATGTAAGAAGTGTATGGTAAATACTAGCTATTGTTATAACTAGGCTTCCCTGGTGCCTCAGACAGTAAAGAATCTACCTGCAATATGGGAGACCAAGGTTCAATCCCTGGGTCAGGAAAAAGCCCTGGAGAAGGGAATGGGTACCCCAGTATTCTGCCTGGAGAATGGCATGGATGGAGGAACCTGGCAGGCTACAGTCCAGGGGTCCCAAAGAGTTGGACACGACTGATCTACTAATACTTTTAATTGTTGTAACTAAGCTACAATTGTTCCCACCTTGCATTATAACCGAGGCTTTCACTGAGTCTTACTACTTTACTCTTGTCTTCACACCCACCAAGTGCATTTTCTAGTCACTGGCCAGGGTCACTCCTTCCATGAACTTTCCTGGTCTCTGGGGTAATGTGTGATCTCAAACCCCTGGGTTCTACCTTATCAGTTAGCTCTTGTGACACTGAAAATGTGAAACCTGCCCATTATTACAATTCCTCATGTGATTATATCTTGTTTGAATTCATTAGTGATCTGGTTGTATCATATTCATATCATTCCCTGCAATTCCCAGCACAGTTTATTGAACATAATAGATACTTCAATGTTTTTTGGATTAAATTTGCTAATATATATATGAACACATTGAAATTACTGGAGTGAGGAAAAACTGAAATCAAGTATAGGGCACTGAAAAGAGCATTAAATCTTTTCTCTAATCAAAATTGTTCATTTAGTAAGCACTAAAATATCACTGCTTTTTTTTTTTTACTTCATTACACACAAAAAAAAAACAATCTAGAAAACTAAGTCCAAAGAATAAGTTCTTTATGTCTTTCTCCCAGGAGTTCTAGGGGAAAAAACTGCTGATACACATCATCATTGAAAGTTCAAGTTAATAGGAATATATTGGGATTCCTTGGTGACAATGTCAGCATCACATATCTAGGGTAAAGATGAACGAGAATCCTGTTACAAAAGTAACTTTCTTACAAAACCATTTCATTCAGCTCATCAATAATCATTTTCAGTAGTGGTATGGATAGAAACCCTAAGTGGCACTTTGGATCTTCTTCATTCCAGAAACCCAGCAGCCAGGTCCCAGCTTGATGTGGCTTGTGGCTGCCCATTATATCCACCTGAGACCTTTGAAAGCCACACACACCCCCCCTTCCCGCCCTTGAGTTCATATTTCCATTGCTGCCTCTGAGAAGTAGAAAGTTTAGGAGGAGAAAGGAGTTTGCAGAATAGTTGGAATAAACAGATTTCTCTGCTGAGTAAGAAACTAGAGATTTAGTGTAGATTGGCTAGCCTTCTTGGGTAGCATTGTGAAAAGATGAAAACTGACACTATTGATTTTTATTCTGAGTATTAAACATGCATTTCATTATTCATGAAAAACAAAATGCGGTTCTCAACAAAGATCCTACGATGACATTTTCTGGAATCATTTAGCTTCCCAAAAGAAGCTGGCACTTTTCAATCAGTTTGAACCCCTAAAAAAAAAAAAAAAAAGCAAATAAGCATATCTGTGAGAAAGAGAAAACAGCCAAACAGCTCTGATCCCCAAATAGAAAATCTTTAAGATTTCCCTGTTGCATGAGCTATGTTCTAATATGCCCACCTCTCAAGGTCTTAGAATAGAATTGCTCACAGACCTAGTCCCTTAGCTTAAGGACTTAATTCACTGCAATGACACCTATCTATGTTCAAGACCCCAGATATGGCATAAATAAAAATTTGCTTCCTTCTCACTAAAGTATGGCACTCTTTTGCTGCAGAGTAAGAATGAACAATCATCATCAGCTTCCCACTGCATTTTAAAACAGTGCTAGGGTAATCCCATATTGCATATGTACTCAGTCACTGAGTTGTGTCCAACTCTTGGCAACCCCATAGACGGCACCTTGCCAGTCTCCTCTGTCCATGGAATTCTCCAGACAAGAATACTGGAGTAGGTTGCCATTTTCTTCTCCAGGGGATCATGTGTGTGTGTGTGTGTGTGTGTGTGTGTGTGTGTGTGCGCGCACGCACACGCGTACATACACATGTATCTTTTAAAAATATTTATTTATTTATTTGGCTTGCCAAATCTTAATTGGAGCACACAGGATCTTTGATCTTCATTGCGGCATACAAATTCTCAGCTGTAGCATGTGGGATCTAGTTCTCTGACCAGAGATTGAAACCAGGCCCCCTGCATTGGGAGTGCAGAGTCTTAGTCACTGAACCACCAGAGAAGTTCTCCTATTTATTCGTCTTAATATTCTTTAAAGTTATTACAATACACCGAATATAGTTCTCTGTGCTATATGTAGGTCCTTGTTTATCTATTTTATACACAGTAATATGTATATATTAATCCGGAACTGCTAGTTAATCTCCTTCCACCCCCTACTCTCCCCTCTGGCAATCATTAAGTTTGTTTTCTGTGTCTGTGAGTCTATTTCTCTTTAGGAAATACATTCAGTTATATCATTTTTTAGACTTCGCATAGAAGTGATACAGTACACTATTTGTCTTTCTCCGTCTGACTTACTTCACCTTGTATGATAATTTCTAGTCCATCCATGTTGCTGCAAATGGCATACTTCACTATTTTTATGACTGAGTAACATTCCATTGTGTGTGTGTGTGTGTGTGTGTGTGTGTATATCCTTTATCCATTCATCTGTTAGTGGGCATTTATGTTGCTTCCATGTCCTGGCTATTGCAAATAGTGCTGCTATAAACTGCGGTGCATGTATCTTTGAAAAATTATAGAGTTTTCATTTTTTCTGGATATATGCCCAGGAGTGGGATTGTGGGTCATGGTAGGTCTATTTTTAATTTTTTAAAGGAACCTCCATACTATTTTCATAGTGGCTGCACCAACTTATATTCCCACCAATTGCAAGGGAGGGATCCTTTGTTCTCTCTCCAGCATTTATTTGTAGACTTTTTAATGAGGGCCATTCTGAGTGGTGTGAGATGATACCTCACTGTAGCTTTGATTTACATTTCTCTCGTAATTAGCAATATTGAGCATCTTTTCATGTGCCAGCTAGCCATCTGTATGTCTTCTTTGGAAAAATATCTATTTAGGTCTTCTGCTCATTTTTCGATTGGGTTTTTTGGTCTTTTGATATGAAGCTGAATGAGCTGTTGGTATATTTTGGGAATTAATCCCTTGTCAGTAGCATTGTTTGCAAACATTTTTCTCCCAGTGGGTATGTTGTCCATATAGGACACTACTAACCTATCATTCATCTGAACTTTGAAATAAATATTGCTAGTCTATTTCTCCACATCCTATGACATGCTTTTCAAGACTCTCTACAGTCTAGATAGACCAGAATATAACAATTTTCCAACATCCTTTCATCTCTTTTGAAATCCCAATTCAATAATAGTAGCAATATACCAGAAAGAATAAAGCCTATTGAAAAATCTACCATCAAAGTAAGAGCTATTGACAAAGTTCTGAAAAACAGTTATTGATATGATATTAATCAACATCTCAAAATGCAGAGATAGGAGCTCAGAATAGCAACATGAAGAGATATTCCAGCAGTAAAAGACCAGAAAGTCATTGATTTCTGAGATACTTTGGTTTTTATCTGCTGCTCAATCCATTTTTTAAAACTTCCTAAAGATTCCAGAAGTCACTACTATCTTTTCAATATACTATTTTTTACTGACCCTATTATTTACAGCTAAAGAATTCAAACTAACATACAAGCTAAAAAACAAAACTGTGTAAATATATGGATAAAATAATTATTTAAACACATAAGGACCCCAAAAGTTTTTCTCCTGGATGCCCATCCTGAAAACATACATAAATACATACACACTTTAGAATTTAGACCAGAAAAACTGAAAATAATCCAAGAAAAAATTACAAAATGGAATTTTAGAAATAGTCCATTTTACCCTAAGTTACACTGGGAAGACATTTTCCATGGATAGTCAGTTCTAGAAATAACTAGGTCCAAACTGAAAGATTAAGCCAGAGGACTTTTCAAATACAGTTTTAAGATGATAGAATATTCTATTACAAAAACTGTTGATTAAGAACTGCTACAACTTAGTGGTGTGATGAAAGCAAATGCTTTGCTTGTCAACATGGAAAAAGAAAGGTAATTAGAACCTCTCAAGAAAGAAAGATATACGAGGAAATCATAGTCCAAATATGTAAAACTAAGCAAATGTGGCATATTTTTTGCAGTTGACAGTAAGAAAAAAAAAAACTCCATTTAATCTTGGTATTTTTTAAGCCATACAGGATCAGTCATTGAACTTTTGGTCAACCCATTCATTGTATGGCTGTAAATAACATTAAAGTTAAATGCACTATTGAATATAGTATTTATTGATTTCCAGTTTTTAGCATCAACCTATTGACAAAGTGTATACACCTTACACTTTGGAGAAGGGCATGGCAACCCTCTCCAGTATTCTTGCTTGGAGAATCCCATGGATAGAGGAGCCAGGCAGGCTACAGTCCATGGAGCCACAAAGATCAGGCACAACTAAAGTAACTTAGCATGCATACACCTTACATATACAAAGCAGGATTAACAAACCTAGAGCATGTGGAAATATTGTCATAGCTTTAAAGAGAAAAGTTGGCAAAGAAATCAAAGGAAATTTAGACATTAAATATGTTGTGAAAAATCACTATATGCTGACTGAAGTGCAAGGACCAAGGAAGAATATAATCAATAAAAGAAAAATACTTTACTTAAAAATATATTGAAAGTCTACTAGTAGTATTGTTGAAGTCAGCATAAACACACTATATTCTTTAAGTGATATCAATATTTTAAGAAGCTACTAAAGTAATAACGCTAACCACTAGGAGTACTAAAAGTAAAGATTTAAATTGCTTATCTTTTGGGAACGGGAAATGTACCCTGCTTTTCTGTCTGAACTTTTGCCCTACTCATGTTCATGTATTACTTATGTAATTTTCAAAAATTGTCTAATGTACCAAAAGAAGCTAAATACAGTATCCCAGAATGACTTGATCCATATAATAGAGATATCACATTGCTTACTCTGATCCTTGCTTTTTCTCCAGAAATGCATCCCAGGATTGCAGTAGCTTTAATAGTAGACCCATCAAATTTTAAGCATAGGCTACTTAAAACAGCAAGTCTTTTCACATAAACTTGTATTGAGTCACAACTAAAAGCAGAATACTACTTTTTTTATTATTAAATTTCATGTATTATTTTCAAACCATCATTTCAATCTGCCCAAATTTCTGCTAATTCTTGTTAACTTTCTTCTGTGTTATATTCTGCTGGCTGACAGATAATTATCTCAGGCTATAATTATCATCCCCCACTGACCTGAGTAGTTTTCTTCTTAAAACTGCTGCTGTCATGAGGAAGCTGTGGTACATATACACCATGGAATATTACTCAGCCATTAAAAAGAATTCATTTGAATCAGTTCTAATGAGATGGATGAAACTGGAGCCCATTATACAGAGCGAAGTAAGCCAGAAAGATAAACCCCATTACAGTATACTAACACATATATATGGAATTTAGAAAGATGGTAACGATAACCCTATATGCAAAACAGAAAAAGAGACTCAGATGTATAGAACAGACTTGTAGACTCTGGGAGAAGGCGAGGGTGGGATGTTTCAAGAGAACAGCATCGAAACATGTATATTATCTAGGGTGAAACAGATCACCAGCCCAGGTTGGGTGCATGAGACAAGTGCTCGGGCCTGGTGCACTGGGAAGACCCAGAGGGATCGGGTGGAGAGGAGGTGGGAGGGGGGACCGGGATGGGGAATACATGTAAATCCATGGCTAATTCATTTCAATGTATGACAAAAACCACTGCAATGATGTAAAGTAATTAGCCTCCAACTAATAAAAATAAATGGAAAAAAAAAACTGCTGCTGTCTGCAATTCACATTATTACCTCATGAAATATGAGATTCCTTTTCTTTGGAAGGTCCAAATTCATCTGGTATGGCTGAGTTTCTTATTTCATTCCTTCTTTTTGTTTCATTCTTATTCTTATCGACACTCCAACATTAACTTCGGCTCACTTTTTTCTCCTTAGAATTTTCCTGCATTCTGGTTTACTTCTCAGAATGTCTTATATCTTGTCTAAAAATGTTTTATCCTCCCACCAGTCCTAGCTAGAAAGGCAATCTTCAAGCCTGCCCACTTTCTCTTTCAGCAGGCAGAACAGGTTCACATAATTGACTATTCAAATCTCAGAAAAGAAAACAAAGAAAATGCCTGTAGGTCCCCGGAGCAGTTAGTCTAACTGGAAAATCTACAGATTGCTAATTGGCTAAGCCTCATCACTTCTAAGGCTTCACAAGTGGCGCAGTGGTGAAGAACCCACCTGCCAATGGAGGAGACACAGGAGATTCACATTCCATCACTGGGTTGGGAAGATCCACTGGAGGAGAGCACAGCAACCCACTCCAGTACTGTTCCCTGGAAAAGCCCATGGACGGAGAAGCCTGGTGGGTGAAAGTCCATGGGGTCACAAAGAATCAGACACAACGGAGCGCACACAGACTTCACTTCGGGGACTTTGGAGACTCCCAAAGCCACTAGGAATTATTCCTTTGCACTCCAGTCAAACCAAGGCCTCTTCCACAAACAGAGGCACACAAAGAGACACACAAATTCTTGCTGATAAGATTCCAAGCTATTTTGATTATATATTCCTATATTTTTGGCTAAGCCTACCAGACCACCTGACCTGACTCTGGAGAAGCCTATATGCAGGTCAGGAAGCAACAGTTAGAACTGGACATGGAACAATAGACTGGTTCCAAATAGGAAAAGGAGTACGTCAAGGCTGTATATTGTCACCCTGCTTATTTAACTTTTACGCAGAGTACATCATGAGAAATGCTGGGCTGGAGGAAGCACAAGCGGGAATCAAGATTGCCGGAAGAAATATCAATAACCTCAGAGATGCAGATGACACCACCCTTATGGCAGAAAGTGAAGAAGAACTAAAAACCCTCTTGGTGAAAGTGAAAGAGGAGAGTGAAAAAGTTGGCTTAAAGCTCAACATTCAGAAAACTAAGATCATGGCATCTGGTCCCACCACTTCATGGGAAATAGATGGGGAAAGAGTGGAAACAGTGTCAGACTTTATTTTGGGGGCTCCAAAATCACTGCAGATGGTGATTGCAGCCATGAAATTAGAAGACGCTTACTCCTTGGAAGGAAAGTTATGACCAAACCTAGATAGCATATTAAAAAGCAGAGACATTACTCTGCCAACAAAGGTCCATCTAGTCAAGGCTATGGTTTTTCCAGTGGTCATGTATGGATATGAGAGTTGGACTGTGAAGAAAGCTGAGCACTGAAGACTTGATGCTTTTGAACTGTGGTGTTGGAGAAGACTCTTGAGAGTCCCTTGGACTGCAAGGAGATCCAACCAGTCCATCCTAAAGGTGACCAGTCCTGGGTGTTCATTGGAACGAATGATGCTGAAGTTGAAACTCCAGTATTTTGGCCACCTCATGCGAAGAGTTGACTCATTGCAAAAGACCCTGATGCTGGGAGGGATTGGGGGCAGGAAGAGAAGGGAATGACAGAGGATGAGATGGCTGGATGGCATCACCGACTCGATGGACATGAGTTTGGGTAGACTCCGAGAGTTGGTGATGGACAGGGAAGCCTGACGTGCTGCGATTCATGGGGTTGCAAAGAGTCAGACACGACTGAGCGACTGAACTGAACTGAACTGATTTGTATAACATAAGGTTATCTTTTTATATTCCAGTCTTACCTTTTTTATTTAATGTCCCCAAATTCTTTCACTTTTTTTTCACAAAGGGGTTACTTTTCAATTGCTTCATTATATTTTGTTACTGTCCTTGGTTCCAACTTCTCTCTAGGAGTTAGATATATGAAAATATTGGAAGGGGACGGGGGACTAGTTTATGATTATCTACTTTCACCCTAAAGTGGTTCCTCGAGTGTTCTCCAAACCAGTAGCATCAGCAGCTCCTGGGAACTTGTCAGACCCAACCCCAGATCTATTGATCTATTGATCAGAAATCCTGTGAGTAGAAAACACTGATTTTGTTTTAACGAGCCCTCCAAGCAACTCTGATGCACACAAATATTCCAGAATCACTGCCTTAGAATAATTATAAGGAGATTAAACATCATGAAACTTTATAGATGATGCATAATTACAGATAATAACATTTTTTATCTGAAGAAGTTAATCTAGCAAATGACAATTAATATGATATATTCTTCAAATAACTCTTATTTGCTTCTTTAATATGTGGAGAAATCCTAAAGCAGAGGGGGAAGGGAAGAAATTTGGGCTTTTCAACCATTAAGTTGAAGATTGCTGTTCGACAAAAAGTGTAGGAAAAAGCACACAGAAATCTTCCTATCATGCTATTGGTGAAATAGTTCCAGCAAGGAGTATTCCTGTTCAAGAGCAAGAACATGTCAAGAAAATTCTCTAGGGAATTCTTAAGTATAGGCCTTTCTGAAAAAAGTGCTTATGAGCTGACTCATTGGAAAAGACCCTGATGCTGGAAAAGACTGAAGGCATAAAGAGAAAGGGGTGACAGAGGATGCAATGGTTAGGTAGCATCACTGACTCAATGGACATGAATTTGAACAAATTCTGGGAGATTGTGAAGGACAACGGAAGCCTGGCGTGCTGCAGGCCGTGGGGTTGCAAAGAGTCAGACAGGATTCAGAGACTGAACAACAACAACAAGTGTTGATTACATTTATCATGTTGCAAATCATATTCCTGGCATTTGTTTTTCTCATAACTGATCACAAGTTTGTACTTTTTGACCACCTTCTTCCCCATACAAAGATATTACAGTATTATTAACTATAATATATATATTATATATAAGATATATAATAATAACTATAATAGTTGCTATTATTATTACTGTTATTACTCAGGTAGTGATGTATTTTCTAAATACTTTACAAAAAGTAAAAGGGCTTTAAAATGAAAAAATGGACATTTGTAACTGTTTTTATTTTGTGTTATCAGCTAGTAAGTTCTTATTGTGAACAGCCAGAGAACATTTGGAAATCTGCAGTTCATTCAGTCTCTGTCACAACTACTCAATTCAATTCTGCTGTTGTAAAAAGCAGCTGCAGACAACATGTAAATAAATGGGCAGGGCTGCATGCCCACACAACCTTATTTACATGAACAGGGAGTGAAGCTAAGTTAGCCAGAGGGCAGTCGTTTGACTACCTTTTTGACAAAACTATGAAAGTGAAAGTGAAAGGCTCTTAGTCGTGTCCAACTCTTTGTGATCCCGTGGACTTTACAGTCCATGGAATTCTCCAGGCCAGAATACTGGAGTGGGTAGCCTTTCCTTTCTCGAGGGGATCTTCCCAACCCAGGAATCGAACCCAGGTCTTCCACATTGCAGGCGGATTTTTTTTTACCAGCTGAGCCTCAGATTATGGCTATAGATCAGTCACTAAGTGGTGTCTTGACTCTTTGTGACACCATGGCCTGCAGCATTGCAGGCTTCCCTGCCCTTCACTGTCTCCCAGATTTTTCTCAGAATTCATGTCCATTGAATCAGTGATGCTATCTAACCATCTCATCCTCTGCCTCCATCTTCTCCTTTTGCCTTCAATCTTTCCCAGCATCAAGGTCTTTTCCAGTGAGTCAGCTCTTTGCATAATGTGGCCAAAGTAAAGGAGTTTCAGCTTCAACTTCAGTCCTTCCAGTGAATATTCAGGATTGATTTCCTTTAGTATTGACTGGGGTTTGGTCTCATGGCAGACCAAGGGACCCTCAAGAGTCTTCACCACACCACAATTCAAAAGCACCAACTCTTTGGCTTAGACTAAAGATATGTGACTTTTAACATAAGCACACGTACAGTTTAGTTGAAAAAGCAGAAAGAGCTAACCAGATTCTTTACCAACTGAACTATGAGGGAAGCCCAGAAAAGAGCCACTGAAGGTAATTAAGGCATTCGTGAAAATTGTTACCTGTGAAAATGTTTCCCTAGGACATTGCTAAACCCCAGCCTTAATTAGCCCCAACCTGTTTGGACTATAAAGGCTGCTTTATCATATATTTTTTTAACCATATACTTGGAGTCTTCTACTCAGATACTATAACCTACTACAACCAAATTTCTGTTTCTCATGTCATATCTGCAGGAGAGTGGCCATCCCAGGTCTCCTCCATGAATTTACATGAATTTTCTGTGCCTCAGAGTGATGGTAGGATCACCATGATAGTCTTAGAAATTTAAGTCACACAACTTTACCATCTTATGAAAAGTCATTTGTTTGTTAACTGTATATAATTAGATTGATAAAAACAGTCACTGGGTAGTCAGTTTAGTGGATATGCACAGAGATACTTTTTTCTGATCATAGTTTCTTTTTCTATTCTTCAACCCCCTATTCTAATGATCTGCCACTGAGAAAATAAAATCCTTTTTACCTGGTTTCCTAGTTAAGCCCCAAACTACCTTTAGTGATTCTTTCTGATTGTGCCTCCAGAAATTTCTCAAGCAAAGCTACAGCTTGCCCAGACAGGCCTTTAAACTGTTATTTGTTTAAAATTTCTCTGTATTTCCATGGACACCTTTTCTCTACAATGACCAGAGTCTTGCTCATCCTTCTTCCACCCACCCCCAATCTAAAACATCTCAGTTCATCTGAGGTCAATGACTTTCTGTTTATCTCTTTTCATGTCTAACACACCTAGTTTCTGCAAATGAACATAAATAGTAGTATACCCTCAACCAAAATACTTAGTTACACCAATCCACTGAGACTGTGATTTTCTCCCAATCCATTCATGACTAGAACAGAGAATTTTTTTTTAAACTTAATAATGCCTAAGAGTGCTAAGAGAATAAACAAAGAAACAGGGATACCTCTTCTTGGAAACACATTTCACTTTTCTCTGCTTGGCAGCACATCTCCACCAGGTGAGCAAAATCCACAATAATTGATTGGAACTGCATCTCTGCTGCATACGGTTTCTGCTTCACAAGGTTGCTGAGGAGTCTGAATAAGAAATAAGTGGCAAAAAAAAAAAAAAAAATAAGCACTCACTGAGGTCTAGGCCAGCTTGCAAACCCACCTTACTTATTGAAAGCTGCACGCCACCTTTGCATAGCTCTCACTCTCAAGTTTAAAGGATCTGAAAATGACCTGATGTTCTCATAGTTTTCACAACGTCTATCTCCATCTTCATGTTTATTCGACATTTTTATTCAAGCACATCTCATCAATATACCAATTATAGTAAATTTAATTATCTTTATGTAATTATTACTAGGACAAATACTTTTTTCTATTTTTATTACATTGGGTAGAAAATAGGTTATACAATACATTAGCTTTTCCTATAGTATTTTCTTATGGACAACATCTATCCTAAAAAACTAACTTCCCAACAAATATTGCAAATATAACACACCTGGATGTTGAGGGCCCTTTATGTTATTAATGATAAAGCCAATATACAAATTTGAAACTTTAGTAGTTTGACAGTCAACTCAGATGTCTCTTAAGAATAGTTTCCCAACAACCATATAAATGTCAGTGATTCAATCACTTTGAATATTCAAAATTATAACCTGGTGTCTGTCTATTTAATAAAATATGTTGTCTTTTTTTTTCTGATCAAGAAAGATTTAACTACAAAGAAAACAAGATGTGAAGGGTAGGGAAATGTACCTTAATCCATATTTTATTGCTTACCCCAAAAAAAACCTTTGCTTGGTCTTCATTTTCAAATTCAAATTGAAAACACCTAGTGGCCTTATTTGTGCTTGAATAGGTATAATAAAAAACATCTCAAAGCTTCTAGCTATTTCTAAGACACTCTAAACCAGGGATCCAACAAATATTAATATTTTAGGCTTTTTCTACCAAGAGGCAGAATTGAGGATATTATATAAGTCTTCTATCACAAGACAGAGAACTCCAGCCCTGCCCCACCTCTAGTCTGGGCTGCCCTGGGTGGCTGGCAGACACAGTTTGTGCCAGTTGCCATCAGCTAGAGACGATGGCGCAGAAGGAGCAGCCAGTAGAAGGGGAGGTGTGCACTGCATCAGTCTCACTGTCCAGCCCAGTGACACGCTGTTTTCTTCTCCCTGAGGCCTCAGCGCAGGCAGCTGGCCCAAAGCAAGGTGACTCTGAGTCGCCTGCCTCCTGGACTGAGATGCCACCAAGCCTTTGCTGCCTGGCAGCTGTCCACAGTGAAGTCTCCAGAGTGGATGTGGCACCAGCGCAGGCCCTGGGCAAAGCAAGCTGCAGCCCAGGCGGGAAGCAGGAGTGAAGTTGGGAACAGTCGAGAGGCCAAAGTGGCCCTCTGCTGCTCCCAGGCTTGGCTCATCCAAGTGGTGCCCCCTGGACCCACAAAAACAGCCCTGGCCAGATGGCCGTAGAACGCTGATCCCATCTAAACAATCAGACAGACACTTAGCTTAACTGGATAGCCCTCTGAACGTGCTTCTGATCTTCCCATTTCAGCTCCACCCTCTCCCACCTCCACCTTCGCCCCGCCTTGATAATTGACAAAGGTGGACCACGGGAAAGGCTGAAAAGAATAAGGAAGCGCAAGCCAAGTTTCTTTTCAGAAACTATTATTAATACAATATGAGGTAGGCTTAAGAAGCATGCAATCATGTATCCTCTGAGCACCAGCTGAGCACCAGCAAAACACAGTCAAAGGACTAGGAGATTCTAATTAACTCCATGTTAACTCCTAATTTTAAGTCCTGGGAATCTAGAAAAAAAATCAGAAGAGGGGACAAAGGCATATGTACAAAAATATTCATTGTCACAATTTATGACACTTAGAAATTAAAAACAATTTTCACGCAGAGCAACATGGAATAAATTCATAATTATACCCACGTGTTGTTGTCATTTAGTCACTAAGTCATACCCGATTCTTTTGCGACCGCATGGACTGTAGACCACCAGGCTCCTCTGTCCATGGGATTTCCCAGCCAAGTATACTGGAGTGGGTTGCCATTTCCTTCTCCAGGGGATCTTCCCAATTCTGGGATCAAGCTCACCTCTCCTGAATTGCAGGCAGATTCTTTATTGCTGAGTCACCATTGTACCCACATACTAGAATATTAAAAAACCATTAAAATGGCTGTTTTGAAGACTAACGTGTACATTAGTTTTTAACTACATTTAAAAAAAAACAAACAGTGAAACAGCCAACATCTTTTGAGTGTATTGATATTTGCTAGGTTTCAGACAATGTGCTGATAATTTATAAATGCTGCCTCATGTAATGTCCTCTGTCACCTTAAAATAAGGCTCTGTGTCATCTCCACTTTGAATTGGTAGGAGTAGTTTCAACTCCTTGGGAATAGTATAGTTCTGGGCAAATATAACAAGCCAGTGCAGTGAGCGTCTCTCTCAGAAAGTGCTGAGGATTGAGAGCTACTTATGAGAACTTGTCCTGAGACAAGAAGTCAAGTTCACAGACTTCCGCCCATTGAGAAAAGTTGGGCAGCAGGAGACTGGAGTAATTCAGCGGTTACCCAGCTGGGCCTCCATTAAACTCAATTCTGAGTTATGTGGAATCAGGATAACGCTTTGAAAGGGGGATAGGTGAGAACTTTCACTGAAGTCCTGCATACCATTGAGACAAAAGCAGCACTGACACAACTCCGACTAAACAAGTACAATCCTGGGGTCTGGGGAAAATACTATTTTTTTCCCTGAACAACAAAACATAAAGCAGTTTTGTCATCCCTTGAAAGGGATGCAGTCTGCTGCTCAACAGGAGACAGCAGTACCTGGAGGGCATGGCTGATCCCAGTGGCACGGGAGTGGTGCCAAGGATCATGCCTGGAGAATTCAGGGAGTGAGGCGACAGGAGTTTCCTAAGCGCTCCCCTGAGGACTCAGAGATAATTGCTGGAACTGAAGTTCTGTATAAGCAGGTAGTAGCACGAGTGTGCAAAGCTTGCATTATTAAGCATTCAAACCATAGATGGATGGACAGAGGGCAACTGTGGGTGTGTGCACTTGTATACATATATGACATTCTATACTCCTACACTGTATATATGTTTGTGATGGGTATTTCTGCAGTGTTGGAATAAAAGTAACATGACTTTCTTCTCTTTTCTGTATTTTCTAAATTTTCTTCAGTGATTACGTATTACTTTAAAAATATATCAAAATTTTACAATGAAATACAATAGTGTTAGCATTCCTTTTTCTATCCAAGTGTTCTGCACATATTTGATCCTTTTCTAAATTATTTTTTATTAAAGTATAGTTGATGGATGCACATATTCAACTTTCCCATTAGACCTAAACTTGATCCCACTTGAGAGGAAACACTGCCTGTGTCTCTGTATCATTCAAGTCTGTGCGGTTATATATGATGCATAGTCAAAACAGTTGATACTATCTTTGAATAATAATTATCAGTTTTTAACACATTGATTATTCAAAGTGAGAAATTTAGCCTATTTCCCACTGGAATTTTGGTGAATTCTGTCTCAATATATTTTCCCACAGATTCAGTATTGCTCATGATGCTGAAATTCACTGACCAACCTATAAAAGAACAGGATAGCTTCAGTCCCAGGCTATAAAAACTAACCACCACATGTACCTACATAGTGAGACTACCCTATTTCCAAGCACTTACTGGGGCTTCTATGAATTCGGAACTCCAAGTAGCCAAAGCCATAACAGGAGGGGTCAAGGGTTTACTGCAAGTTCATGCAAAATCTGGACTTCTCTTTCCTTCCAATGTCATGAAAAGGGCACAAACTTTGCAGTCAAACTTAACTTCGGCTCAAGTTAGGTCCTCCACTCACTAGTGTGTCTGATGATGGGTAAGATACTTGGCCTCCCTGACCCTCATCTACAAAAAGAGAATTTGAACACCTATAGCATTCGCCTGCCAGTGCAGGAGATGTGGGTTCAATACCTGGTCTGGGAAGATCTCCAGGAAAAGGAAATGGAATCCACTCTAGTATTCTTGCCTGGGAAATCCCATGGACAGAGGAGCCTGGCAGGCTACAGTCCATGGAGTCTCAGAGAATCAGACATGACTTAGTGACTGAACGACAACAAACAATACTTTGCAAGGTTTTTGTGAACACCAAAAATTATACTATGTTAAAAGACAGAGTACAGTAACTGACATACTGGAGGCATGCAGTACATAATGGCAAAGATAATATGAGTAATTATATTAATTATTTCAGCAAATGATGGCAAAGATAATGAATAATTATAGTAATAGCAGGACTTGCAACTGTCTGTTTCAAATTACTGGTTGTCTCCAACCGTTGTCTCCCTTCTCCCTGATTCCCACAATAAATGGTACATTGTCACAACTTCTTACCTATCTACCCATTTACTCATTCAGTAAATAACGGATGAGCATTTTTATAATTTCCCTGAAGATTTTAGCTGTAGATTTAACAATAATAGAGAAGACAGAGGAGGTAGGAAGGCTCCCTTATAACTACCCTTCTTCTCTTTCCTCACAAGCTTTGTGGATTCCAGGTGTCTTCATAGCCTGGCTCCGCCCAAGCCCTCGAGTCTCAATCCCCAGAATTTCTCTCCTCTCGCTCACCTGTGCCTCAGACACCTGAACGTCGGGCTCTCCTCAGTCCTGCTGGGTCAGCGTGCTTCTGCATGCACTTCCCCAGAGGCACCAGTGGAGGGACCACTGAGCTTCCAGAGAAGACAGAAGCAGCTTTTATTTAAACAAGGAGAAACACTCACTGATCCAGGATAGGTAAGTGGGGGGAAAGGCTCCCATTATGAGAATGCAAGTCTGGGAATGAGATTTAGAGCAAAGGTATCAGCATCGTGTTACCTTTCCTTGACACTCCGGATATAAAGGCTGCCTTTTCTACAGCTGGGGACTCTGACATTTGGAAGCTAGGCGCAAAGCCCCCCATAATTTGTCACATACTCGTGATTGCTTGCAGAGAATTTATCTCCTCTCAACTCCCTCCTACCTCCACCTCCCCATGTCTCTACCTCTCAGCCTGACTGCTATTTAAAAATTCCCCTAATTCTATATATTCCTTTAGTTTTCAATTTACCTTTTTAAATCTTAGATTATATTTTTAATCCTCAACACCAAATTGTTTCCGGTTCTTCATTTCAATGATATTGCTCTTTTATTTTCATTACATCTATCCATCCTTTCATTTGAAGCACACTCTAATCTTGAGTCTTAACTATCTTAAGTCTAATCCTCCTATCTTAAGTCTTAACCCTTCAACCCTGTATTTTTCTTCGCTGGATTTTAAATTCTTTTCTCTTGAACCAGCATTCTCTTCCTATTTTCTCTATCTTATTGCATGACTTCATTTCTGCCTCCTTTTATAATCGTGCTGAATTTTGTCTTTTCCTTCCAGGAACCCTCTATTTTTTTTTTTCTTTTCATGTTTATGTGAACTTATGCTTTGGCAATCAGCCAGAACTATATAGGAGAGAGCCCCTACCACTTCCCAGAAAATGGAGGGCTTTGTCCAGCCTCGCTCTTAATTCCCAGTATGTATTTTTCCAGAATATTCTAAAAATCTCTACATTATCAGTCTCTATGTTATTGCTTTCTCCATACAGAAAACACCATGAATTCACCAGAACAGCGATGCTTCCTAATATTTCACACTTTTTATTATCTAGCCTTTACATGAAGAGTTTCAAGTTTTAAAAATTATAGCCAGCATTATAACCCTTTGACGAGGGCACGCTAACAGCTACATGTTGGTTGTTAAGCATATGTGCTCCGAGCCAAATAACCTGGGTACAAATTCCAGTTCAGCAACTGATTTACCTACTGCATGATCTCATACCAGTTATTCTTGCCTTCTTAGCCTCAATTCCCTCACAATTAAAATGGGGTAATGATATTATCTACCTCCTAAATCTGTGGTCACGATTGGGGGAGATAACATACATAAAGGATGCCTATTTGTACCAGAAAATTTCCTCAAGGGAAAGCAAATCTTGAACTCTAAAAGTAAAGTATTATATGCTCATATTAGCCTGGGCTAGAAAAAATGGTTAACTAAGTGATCATCGGATGCTTACTGAAAAGTTTTAAAGACTAGTTTGTGATCAGTTCATTTTGGGAGCTAAGAAAGGACTTCAAGTGTCAGTTGGTTTATGAATCTTAAGTACTGTGATAGAACAAGTGACAACCTTGTGCTTGCTGACCACGATAATATGCTTATTCTCAAGGCAACAAAACCTTGGCCTCGCTTGGAAAGACGATATTCTCGGACTAATAATATTTAGACCCTGCAAAAGCAAGTCTTCGAATAAATAACTTAATTAGAAATAAGCTAGCACTTCTGTTGATCTTGAGGAAGAAAGAACTATGAGGACCAGTATCCTTTCTCCTGAGGACAAGATGCGGGGCATGTGAGGAGGGTGGGAAGGGAGGGTGGGCTTTAAAGGGGAACCTGCCCACTGTCAGGAGGTGGAGTGATTTCAATTAATTGTGTCTTTGTCATTGCTGTTGCTGTGTGTACAAAAAGATCCTTACTTTAGCTTTTCAGTTTTTAATTCCTCCTCTTGAGCTTTGCACAAGTCTTCTTTAAGGTTGATGACTTGGTCACAGGATAATGGTGGAGAAATGTAAGTTCCATCGACTTGCAGGTCATCAAAACAATGCTTTCTGAAGGCATCCGAGTCATCACAGCACTCACCCACAGCAGCACTGATGGGCTCCGTCTCATGCCTTCTGCATAGAGCTCCAAGAATTAACTTTGCCTTCCCCAGAAAAGAATTAAGATAAGAGCCATAAGTTTTGTGGTCGTTAGGATTATTTTTTTTAATCCATAGAAAATTATTCTCAAATTCTAGTTTTTGCTAAACTCAGCCTGAATTTTATCATCTGGGAAAGAGCAAGAGTGTCAGGTGAAGCCTAGTTCTCAGCCTTGACCTCCACCTTCCTATTATCCTCAAGGTGAGTTCCCTTGAACCCCACTTCCCAAATTCCTTCCCAGCCCAGTTTACAGACAAGTGTTGGCTTGAGGCAGGAGTTCTTTATGCTGTATCAAGTTAAAATCAAGCCTCTGGTCAACACAACTGCTAATTTGATCCAGATATAAGACTGATGGTCGGATTTCTTACTTAAAAAGCTCAAATCCAATGTGTTTCTACGTCTCATAACTGGACATTGGTAACCACCATCAAACTTGGTATATGGCAAATCCTGTATAAACATTTGTTGAATTATTGGAAAAAATGAATAAATGAGTGGTGAAAGGAATCCCTGAATCTTCTTTCAGTTACCTCTTTAATTTTCTTGTCTCCTTCTAGAACAGTCACCTTGCCTTGCTCCCATTGTGGTGTCTGATACTTACTCTAATGCTGGCTGCAAGCCTGCTCTAGGCCCCTCTGAATGTGACCACACAAATACCCTGTCACTTATGTATGTGGGGACGAAGTGGCTGAAACCTTGGAGCATCAGCATTCAATTTACGAGTTTATCCATTTTCACAGTAACCAAAAAGATCACTTAAAAGTAAGGTTTTAGGAGTATAAACCATGAGTTCCCTATGAAAGGCATGATTGTTAATAAAAAATTTAAAATAAAAGGAAGACAGAGATGGATAATAAAAATTTTAAATCTGCAACCAAAACAATTATATTTTATCAGAAAAAATACTCACACATCTGGTGCTGGAAGTGTTGTGAGTATGATAATCGTGTGAGAGTAAAGGAGATACACAGGAAAACTGGCTGTTTTTTACTACATTTTTGATTAGGATGAGTTAGTCTGAAATCAGCAAAATCACTTTTGTTGACTTGAAAATCCAAGGAATAGATCTTGAGATATGATCCAGGCAAAGGCCTGATGAATCTGACATCTCCAGTTTTTGCAAAGTAAGGGTCTTACCCTTGCTGTCAATCAAAGACTGTTGGCATGAACCATCCAGAAAGAAATTCTCCCAAGGACAGAATTATTAGGGTCCAGTGACAACTCACAGATGTGTCCACTGACATGAGATTGATGCTGGGGCCTGGAGTTGAGAACTTCCCACGACAGGCAAACGTGCGGTCAAGGGTGTGCTTACCGAGTCCTCCATGCAGACAAACTGGGGCTCTTGATCCAGTGGGCAGCACTTGCTGGCAGCAGCTGCCATGTTCTTCGTGAGAACAATCAACTCCTGAGCAGACAGCTGTGGGGCTTTCTTTGTATAAAAGACTATGAGCCTGAAAGAATAATGTCTTCTTATTCCTGGAGATGACTCTGCCTCAAATGAAGAATTCTACAAAGTGTTTGTCATCATCTGATATTTGTCTGGGAGGAGCAAGTTTTTAAACTGGGCTTAAGTCTATTCTTTTAGATCCTATTTCAGTGTTCCAATAGCTTCTTCAGTAGACCTAGAATTCTCTTTCCACATCACACATTGCTCCATGCTGATCCAGTTTTTTCTACATAGGATCAAGGATGCTATGATAGCTAATGTGGGTGACTGCAAAATCAGATTCAGAGTAAACAGCTCCTGAAATAAATATATGCACAGTCTTTAAGGCATGTATTGGTTGTTTGTGATGTGTAGGAACAGAAGCTACAGCAGCGATCAGGAAACATTTCCTGCTCTCCTGGGCTCATGCCCTAGTTGGGAAGATAAAAGAGCACACTCAGTGTGATAAGAGGAACACAGAATGCTATAGATATACATGGAATGGCATCTAATTCCACCCCAGGGAGGTCAGGTAGGCCTCCCAGAGGAAATGACATGTGAGCTGAGATCTTGCCAATAACTAAAAATGACCCAGGTGAAGGGGAGTGAAAGTAAGGGTGGAGCATTTAGAAAGTCACTGAGTGAGGTTTTGTTTTTCTTAATTGGGGGGATTGGAAACTGAAAAGAGGGGAAAGAAGAAAGCTTAACTATAGAAGCAGCTTTACGATGCTTTTAAGATCATTATGGTTGCTCTATAAAGAATCAACTGGAGGTGGCAAGAGGCAGAGTCAGGGAAGGAAAAGCCATGCCAGTAATTCAAGTGAGAGAGGCTGGTGGCCTGAACTAGGACAGTGGTGGTGGGAACTGAGGAATACAGGGGAAATTTTTGAATGAGAAAGACTACAGAACTGGACAACAGAATATCAGAATCATTTATTGCATTTATATTATAATGGAGTTAGGGAAATAATGTAGCTGCTTCTTAAATCCAGCCCCTGGATTGGCAGTATCAGTACCCTTGGGTACTTGTTAGAAATATTAATACATATTCTCATGCACCGTCCCAGATTTACTGACTCAGAAACTCTAGAGGAGAGCTGTGTTTCAACAAATCCTCCAGGTAGTTCCCCCCCCCCTCCCCCGGCAGTTTTGATGCACTCTGAAGTTTGAGAGCCATGGGTCTAATCCTTAAATTAGACATTAACAAACACAACAGTTAAAAGAAAATAAAAACAAATATTCTGTCTGAAATGAGAATAGTTCCTCTGGTTCCATTATTCCAGTCATTTAAGTTCAGTATTATGAACACTATATCAAACCGAATTTTCCCCCAGCACTCTGCTTCTAAGTAGACTATACTAGTAACATCTTAAACATTACGGAAAATTGGCCTTTTTTAAAAAATATCTTAATCTTTAACATGGGCTTCCCAAGTGTCTCAGTGGGTAAAGAATGTGCCTGCAATGCAGGAGACCCAGACAGACTTGGGTTCAATGCCTGGGTTGGGAAGATTCCCTGGAGAAGAGCGTGGCAAACAATTCCAGTATTCTTGCCTGGAAAATCCCATGAAAAGAGGAGCCTGGTGGGCTACGGTTCGTAGGGTCACTAAGAGTTGGACACAATTGAAGCGACTGAGCACACATGCACACAATCTTTGACATAAATGGGATTTGCCAGGCTCTCTGCACACAGAGTTTTTTTGTGCACTCCCTGACTAATAACTACAGTATCCATTTATTTCCACTCTTGATGGTGAAAATACTCTAGTGCTATGGTGACCTGACTTGAAACTGACAAAGCAACCCTATATCAGATCTCTGTTGCAGCCTTGACTCCAAATTGCAGGCAAAGCCCCAAGCTAAATGTACAGGTGAAAGGTAGAGGCTCCTATGAGATTGCAGAAGGGGGTCAGGGCTGCTGGCTCCCTAATCTCTGGGCATTGATTAGAATCCGGGAAACTGGACCAAAAAGCAAAGTAAAAGCACACAAAGTTATGTAGTCAAGTATCTTATCAAGATAAGGATAGCTGGGTTAATTTGGAACTGATTTTTTCCTTGGCCTCTGAGGTTTTAAGGTTGAATATAGACTCTTAGCAACTCTTAGCAGCAAGAGTTAACAAAAACTAACAAGCATAATCTGGACAACATCTTAGAAGCATACCTGTCGTGAAAGTTACTATCTCCTAATTTCTCACGTACATCACACTGATTTTTCACACACTCATGGCTTTCACGAACCACTCTTTGAAACATCCCTTCCTGAAAAATAAAGATAATCAGTGTTTGCCTATTGTTGCGACAATACATCTTGAGGTTAGATTGCAAAATCATCTTCTGTAATAGTTTAATGTAACTGTTTTACTAAACCCAGGGTTTTATTTACTCAGTGAGTTTGGAAATGTTGAAAAAACACATTTTGCTATAACAGGAATGGCCATGTACTTTGTGGAGGAAAAAAGTAGGACAACCAGACTGATATTTCATTTCCTCTGATATGAACTCATTTGTGGGTTTAAATGGCATATTTTACAAGTATGAAGCTAGTCATTCATCAAGCCAGAAAGAGGTCCTTAAAAGTAATTTATAGATCAAAGTTCAATTGATCAGAATATGTGTGTATATATTGGTTATTTTTAATAACACAGCATTTTTATATAAACAGTACAGATATGGGCATATGGATGTAGATATAGAAATATAGATACATATTAAGAAGTAAGGTTTAATAAAAACACGTACCAGATGTGAAGCATTCCACAAATACAGTTTGAAGGAAATCACATGGAATTCTTAGAGCTAAACACAAGTTGAAAAAGTTCTTGAACAGTGCAAATAAAATCCCAGTGGGAAGATACAACTGACCTTGCAGACTTAGCTCTTTTCTAGGAACACTGGTTATCATCTTAAGCAATCAGACCCAGTCCACCTGATTCTAATAAGCAGTGTTCAATAGTAAAAACTTTACCCAGTTTGCAAACTATTTGTCTGGATTCAACCTTTCTTGCCTGAGTGGCACTGGACTAGTCACCTGAACCTCTGAAACCCAATACTTTCATCTATAAAATGTAGCTAGTAATTCTGCCATTACCTATCTTACCAAGCTGCCGTGAGAATAAAATAGGACACTGGTTGTAAAGCTACTTTGTAAACTCTAAACACCCATCCTCCTATAAGGGGTTATTATCATAATAAGGGTGATTGTGAAATCTACAGGTGATGCATTGAAAGGGTGTTAACCAGATCTTCTAGGATCCAATGCCTGATGATCTGAGGTGGAGCTCATGTAATAATAACAGAAATAAAGTGCACAATAAATGCAATGTGCTTGAATCATCCTAACCATCTCCCCCCACCTCCCCACCACCCCGGTTCATAGAACAATTGTCTTCCATGAAATGGGCCCTGGTGCCAAAAGGTTGGGGACTACTGTTAACCTACAGAAGACTAAATCACCTTCATTTAGCTTTCTCTCCAGGAACAGGAAGATGCCAGATGTACCTGCTTGTACTCAGAACAAGAAATGCCTTCACCCTCTATCCCCACCTCTCTGTCAACCCACAAGCCACTCATTAGCATAACAAAAGCCAGAACTTCCTAGCTCCTGGTAACCCGTGGATGACAGATCACCTGGTCAGAGATTTGTAAGGTCACCTGCTTTTTCATGTCAACTGCACAACAGGAGCCACTGCCTACAAACAGTATGATTTCTGGCTTGAAATAGGGAAAGTGTCCAGGCCTGCTTGCTGAAAATGTTCAACATTCCCTCACCCTAACAGGCTATGCTTTCATGCTACCTACTACCAGGTCAAGCAAACTTAAAAGAGAAAATTGCACAGAGAATGTTTCATAAAACACAGAATTTATAAGGCAGTAACTCACACAGAGAGTTGCTGCTGTGTAATGATGTGACCTTTGGTTTAGAAGGAAATCATAGTTTTTGTGTAATGCTTGAAATCAGAACATGCATAATTATCTAATAAAAGCATGGTACTACTAACAGCACTGGACTTTTCTCTATTTGTAATCACACCACAAATATGAGAAATAGGTTTTTTTAAAAAGGAATTTACCCCATGGCTATAGCATTCCAGAGGATTTTCTAATTTACAGCATGTTCCCAGTAAATTTTGATATACTGCATCCACTCTTAAAATGACTGGAACTGCCGACTCTGGATGTCTTCTTGCGTATTCATAAAGAAACCTGTTTCCACATGAAGCAAATTAGAGAGTAAATAGTAAGTTTCTGAAGTCATATTTTTCTTTCAAAAGCCATCTATTCAATTTATTCAATATTTTAACTGACTTTAAGGTATTTGAAAATCTTGGGTGACTGGCAGGGAGGTTTTTCTGGCTATGTTTTGAGATAAGGAAACCAAATCAATAAAATTACATGATTTTTCCAAAGTCACACAACAGTGAGTGGCAGACTCAAACTTGAACCTAAAATATTCTGATAAACTTCAGTTCTTGGCTCAGGGTCTCTCCTTACTGTTGCTAGAAATTCATTTCAAGTGTGTAGATGAGAACATTTTTCCTAATGACCTTTGAGGCTAGATTTTATAAATATTACACTTTTTATAAGTATTAAATCACCATCTTCCCCTTGTTCATAATCTATACATTCTTCTGGGTTACAAGAAAAGAGAAATTTTGACTCTAGAATACTTCTAAAGGAATCATAGAATTGCAGGAGGGATTTTGAAGTGCCTTAAGGAGGGACCTTATCTAACTGCCTCAGTTTACAGTTGGAACATAAAAGCCTGGGGAAGTTAAAAGGCTTGAACTGCATTTCAAAGCAGATGCATGACTAAATTAGACTGGAACTCAGGTGTCCCAACTCACAGACTAATGTGATTTCCACTAAGTTGTGCCTATCCACTTTTTCAGAACCAAATGCAAGACTAGGGAAAGTGATTTCAGATAGTGACATTTACTTTTATAAGCCAATGTCAAATGTAATTGCAGAAATATCGCTAAAGTCACTCAACAGAAAACTTTGAAGAAAACTCAAATTTTTATGCTTTGGTAGAATTTAGTCGCTCCAAATAATACTTTACACAGTGACTTTGGAAATATTTCAATGACAAAGTAATACCATCTTAATATTTCATCTTGAAATCAGTTTGCTTTATGACCCAAATAAATAGTACTTCTGCATGGGCGCCAGAGATGTTAGTATTCCATTTCTTTAATCTTGAAATTCTATGCAATAGCTTTGATAGTAGGTATTAAAATAATCAGAAGAGCTGGCCATACTAATCTGAGGCCCTTACTTAAACATGACTCTAAGTCTCTCAGAGCAAAGCTTGCACACGCTTGACACTCACTTCATTTTTAAAAATTCCTATATTGGTTGTCAACATTTAGAACTCAAGAGACCTTCAACTGCCCTCCAAAAAGTTGATCCAACCACCCAAAGCCTACATTCCCACATGGCCACAAGTAGCTAGAGCCAAATAGTAGCTGCCACCTTGGACTACACAGAGCATATCCTCTTGACCATTTAACCATTGACTGATATCATTGACTAGCCTCTGCCATCATTCAAGTTTGCAACTTCTACCAAAGAATCCATAAATACAATATCCCTTTATTAAGGTTTTACAAAAAGCCTTATTACTCTTGTAGGAAGAAATCTTGCTTGTCAGTGAATTGTTTGCATACAGACTGATCTGTAAACCTGCGAAGGGGCGGGGATGAGAGATCAGGTTTGTCATCGTTTTCCGAGTTGATAATGCATTCTCCTCAGAATGGTTCTGGCAGTTCACAGCATGGAGAGAATTTGCTAGATAGAATAGCCTGTTTAGAGCAGATGTAGTTCATAGCTGACTCTATAAAACAGAAAGGGAAGCAGTTATTCTTGATGACTTCATTCTGAACATATTTATTTTTATTGAGAAAAGCAGAGAAAAACTTGGCCTCATATTGCTTTTTTCTTGCAAACTGAAAGATCAGAAAGGCCAGTTATACTGACTCTTTCTAATAAGGAAGCTTCCTACCTGACCTTTCTCAAGTGTCATAGCTCTCAAAGAACTTAAAGGAAGATGGACTATATTACTGTTTTCAAGTTTAGCCCAACAAAATACAAATAGAGAGTTTTATCACTTGCTATTGTTATTGTTTTAGGATCCCAGTTGAGAAAACATTTTGTCTCTGTCATTTTCTATATACATTACCATGATATTACTATTACACTTACATATTTACTTGTATGTTAAAAGTAGAAGTGAAAGTGTGAGTCGCTCAGCTGTGCCCAACTCTTTGCCATCCCATGTACTGTAGGCCACCAGACTCCGCTGTTCATGGAATTCTCCAGTCAAGAATACTGGAGAGGGGTAGACATTCCCTTCTCCAGGGAATCTTCCTGATGGCAAGAATACACAGAAGAACTATACAAAAAAGATCTTCATGACCCAGACAACCATGATGGTGTTATCACTCACCTAGAGCCAGACATCCTGGAATGAGAAGTCAAGTGGGCCTTAGGAAGCACCACTATGAACAAAGCTAGTGGAGGTGATGGAATTCCAGTTGAGCTATTTCAAATCCTAAAAGATGATGTTATGAAAGTGCTGCACTCAATATGCCAACAAATCTGGAAAACTCAGCAGTGGCCACAGGCCTGGATAAGGTCAGTTTTCATTCCAATCGCAAAGAAAGGCAATGCCAAAGAATGCTCAAACTACTGCACAATTATACTCATATCACATGTTAGCAAAGTAATGCTCAAAATTCTCCAAGCCAGGCTTCAACAATACATGAACTGTGAACTTCCAGATGTTCAAGCTGGATTTAAAAAAGGCAGAGGAACCAGAGATCAAATTGCCAACATCCGTGGGATCATCAAAAAAGCAAGAGAGTTCCAGAAAAACATCTACTTTGCCCTATTGACTATGCCAAAACCTTTGGCTGTGTGGATCACGACAAACTGTGGAAAATTCTTCAAGAGATGGGAATACCAGACCACCTGACCTGCCTCCTGAGAAATCTGTATGCAGGTCAAGAAACAACAATTAGAACTGGACATGGAACAACAGACTGGTTCCAAATAGAGAAAGGAGTACATCAAGGCTGTATATTGTCACCCTGCTTATTTAACTTATATGCAGAGGACATCATTTGAAATGCTGGGCTTGCCTGGAGAAATGTCCATAACCTCAGATATGTTGTTAACACCATCCTTGTGGCAGAAAGCAAAGAAGAACAAAGAGTCTCTTGATGAAAGTGAAAGAGAAGAGTGAAAAAGCTGACTTAAAA